AGAGTTTGAAAAAGATTAGCACAGAGGTCTTATATGCAAACTGAAAGCTTATTGTATTGACAGAAGCTTATTACATTGGTTTGAAGATTATCTGCATGATAGAAAACAGATAGTTGTGCTGCATAATTCGTCTTCTTCCTTTTGTAATTTTTCAGCTAGTGTTCCCGAGGGATCTGTTCTAAGCCCTCTCAGTCTCTTTGTTTCATATATTAATGATATTGCTGATAGGTTTACATCACTCTATCGGCTATTTGCTGATGACAATTTATTCAATTATTCTAGTAACGATGGAGAACAGATTATATTAAATATCCCCATAATTACATCTCTTAAGCACCTGGGAGTTACTTTCAGTAGTGACGCAAAATTAAACAATCATATTGAAAGTATAATTGAAAGTGTAATGAAACAATTTTTCGGAAACATAAAAAACCGACTATCTCGAATTGATTTAGAAAAACTGTACCTATGTTTTAATCGACCAAATTTTTAATATGCCACGGAAGTATGGGACAATTGTGGAATATGTTATTCATATAAATTCGAAAACTTGCAATTAAAGGCCGCAAGAATTGTAACGGGCTACCAATTTTTACTAGAAACTGAAACCTTGTACTCTGAGATTGGCTGGGAATCTCTTTTAGAAAGATTAAAATAAGATGAAAATTACAGATGTTTTATAATATGAATAAAAAAACATGCATCCGAGTACCTTACCTATGTAATCTTGTCCCAACAAGGTACAACCAACTATCCGTGTTGAAATGGTTATGATATTATTGTTCCACTTTGTATACTTTCCCCCCACTACTGAATCATTTATTTCCTTCACAATACGAGAGTGGAATAAGCGTAGCGTATCCAAAAATTTGCAGCATCGATATCTTTTAAGAAATAATTAAAAAAACGATAGTATCCTAAGTTAAGCTTAAACGTTTTCTTTGTACCGTCCGGGGAAATTGATTATAGTATTCGTATTTAATTGCGATTTCCGATTCATTCTTAAACTATGACCTTTTCTGAGCTAATTTTATACTTTAACCGTTCCTGTCAATGTGGGTCAGATATTGAGGATGTTCATCATTACTTTTTTGTTTGTCCAAAATACATTCATGTAGAGAAAGTTTACTCAATAACCTTAACTGGCTTTCCAAAAAATTTGTTTTTGATACAAAACTGTTAATTTGCTAAACTTTGAACTTTTGAATGAACAAAATATCAAAATTTTCACATATGTTCTGAATTTCATCAATATGTCCTACCGATTTCTTGTAGCTTCATAAAATGTTATTGATACTGACACGGACCATCCGGTCATCGTCGACATCATCATCAACCCCTAAGTCATCATCACAGAATTATATTACTTCTTAATCTTTGTTTCTTCTTTGTCTTTTTACTTATAGCTCGTATAATATTCAATAAACTGTTTGCTTTACACGCATGCTCATCACAGACTATTGTATAAATTCACATTGTATTATGGAGAAGACCTCATAAGTATGAATTTGCCGCTGGACGTTTCAAGCAACCAACAATCAATCAATCATAAGTATGAGTTACTTGTGTCTCATCCATTTTGATTTAATTCAGCAAATGAAATATGTTTAAACTTATTCTCACCATCCAGTATCCGATGATAAATAGAATTAAATTAGTATATACCCATAGTTAAGCCGACTATCACAATTCTATACCTGCCTCGAGTTTGATTGTTTTTCAAGTTTAATAGAATAGACAACAAACTAAACAATATTCTGTAGGGGCTTTTATATAAATGTTACATATAGATTTTCCAGACAGAGGGCTAACAATTGATTCAGGACGAACGTACCAACCGTATGGTGCACTTGAAACGTCATGTCTACTGTTAGCATTTAAAAAAACATAACCATTGATAAACAGGCTGTCCAAGTTCTATCTTTAGGTATGATTTTACTACCCATTTATTCCCATGGGTAGAAAAGAAATTTCAAACTATAACTTTTCCGTCATTTGACATCAAATTACTTTTGTAAGTGGAACCATCGTCAATTGGTCACAATATAACTTTGAAGTATTGAAAAAGGAAAACGTTCAGCACTAATTACAAGTTCAAACTTTTTACTGGCTTTTTTAATTATATTTTATCGACATGCAATTTTTTTTTAATAAAAAAAAGAAGAGTTGGGATTTAAATTGTTCAATTCAAAAGAAACAACAACTGGTAAACCATTTTAACTCTTGTATTTTATTTCATTTCCTCTTTGTCTTTTCATTGAATAATATACCACGGGAAGAGATAATTAATCATTCTTCTGTCCCATAAGTTCGAACAAAATGCTTTATGCGGTTCACAGAGACAGCAGACTAGCAGATATAGGATAGAAACCCCACCGCATTTTTGCGCCTGTCCCAAGTCAGGAGCCTCTTGCCTTTGCTAGTCTTGTATAATATGTTTTTTTTAATTTCAGTTCATTTATATATTTTGGAGTTTATTTAGTATGACGTCCATTTTCACTGAACTAGTACACATTTTTGTTTAGGGGCCAGTTGAAGCCCGCCTACGGGTGCGGGATTTTCTCGCTGTGTTGAAGACCCATTGGTGGCCTTGGGCGGTTTTTTTTTTTTGCTCTTTGGTCGGGTTGTTGTCTCGTTGACGCTTTTCCCATTTCCATTCTCAATTTTATTGCTATTTTTGGATACACAGTTAAAATACATGTTAATATTGACCCCTCCCTCTTTTTAAATCTTTTTTGTTATTGCAAATAAAACTGAGAACGATATTGACACTAACTAACTACTAGACTATAGAAGGTGTTTTGTTGCTTGTCACTTTCAGCAGATTGCCTCAGCTTTCTAACTCAGTCTCATCCTATGCCACTGTGTAATTCAGTAAATTTTGGCATTGTACGAGATCATGCTTTTCTCTAACCCTAATAATGTCGATTGCTACATCGATAGGACATAGACTGCAAGAGGGCGCAGAATGTTCCTCCATTAAAGGTGATCAAAAGTGGAGTACTACCCTAGGATATCGTGTTGAAGAATATGTACAGTTGTTCGAAATAAAAAAAAAAATACCCGCCCATATTTAAGAAATAAAAAAATGACTATGTAAAACTAAATTAATTTTAATAGTAATCATACTAAACGTTCCAACTGTGCAGTATTGTACAAAATGTGAATGTCACACAAATAAAATTGCTGTTTACACTAAATCCGTAGGCAGTGAATTGATTGATACTTAAGGTGGGGACAGGGTTTATTTGTTTTGAAGTAGCCTTCAGTTACTGCAAGTACTCTTAGATCGATTGGTACTTTAATTGCGTCTTTTGTCTTGATGTTAGTTGTTTTTGTGCTTTGTGTCAATCTGATGAGCCAAGCCATTTCCAACAGATTTTTACAGTTTATTCCAATGCTGTGCTGTTACACCACAGTCCCAGATTAGGGGAGGAATGACCCCTCACAAACAGGCTTAATTTCCACCACATTCTATCGGTGCCGCTGTCATAACAGTGGTTGTCGTTGGTTACTATCTGCCCTATTTGTTTTTTGTGTATTGTTTTAATATAAGTCTTAGTTTGAAGTGTTTCAAATCTTGTAACTTTGGGGCCTTTTATAGTTGACTATACGGTATGTTTTTTTTTAATTCAACGGTTAAAGCGGGCTGTGCGTTGGCCTATAGTTGCTTACATCCATGTCATTTTGGACTCTGCAGGACTCTGCATGATGGATAGCATGATATAATATATTCTACCTTCAGATGTCTTTTACTAGGGCTTTAATAATATGGACTTCTTTTACTTCTCAGTCAGTGAACTTTTGGGTTTCAGTGAATTTTTTTTTGTGTTTGTTTGTTTTGGCTCCTAAATGGGAGGCTGATTGTCTCTTGGCCTTCCATCCTGGAAAATGCACTAGTCTAACCATCACACAGAAAAAGAAACCATTCAAACACGATTACATCCTGCATAACCATACTTTAGAACCAGTAACATCAACAAAATATCTTGGTGTAACCTTACAGTCAAATTTAAAATGGAACAATCACTATGACAACATCATATCAAATGCAAACAAATCTCTTGGTTTCCTGAAGAGAAAACTAAAAGTATCAACTTGACACCAACATTTAATCCCGTGCATACCAATCCATTGTGAGATCGACCAAAACTTGAATACGCCTGTAGGTTATGGGATCCACACAACAGAATACAAAAATAAACTAGAAATGGTACAGAGGCGTGCTGTCCGCTATGTATGTAACAACTACCACAACACCAGTAGTGTTACATCCATGATAAACATCTGCAATGGCCCTCACTTGCTGAGCGCCGCCTCAAAACCAGGCTGATAATGTTCTATAAAGTCATCTATGGACTCATTGCAATTCCAGCCCCGGCCTTATACCAACAGATACTAAAACAAGAAAAGCACATAAACAATCATTTCGGCAAATGTCCACCTCAAAAGACACTGAGTTACAAATGGTCGTTTTTCCAAAAACAATAATACAATGGAACTTGCTACACAAGTTGTAGTAGCATGTCAAACAATTGAAACCTTTAGAGAACTGTTGACACGAACTGTTCTCCACAACATAAAGTAACTTAATAAATTTCAATGTACTTATTTTTAATCACTTGTTGTCTTTTTTCATGTAAATATCACTATTCAAGTAATCTACAAATAAAAAATAAAAAAAATTGTGTTGTGTAACTATAATTTGAATATCTTTAATCATATACTCCGCGCATGAAACAGTTCGTATAATCTTCAATATTATATGAAGCTGATACTGTATATCTGAAGAAGTTTGTTTTTATTTATAGTATTTTGTTTTGTTATTGTTGTTGTTTTTTTTTGGGGGGGAGGGGTACTTGTCATTCCCGAAAGTGCAAACATAAATAAGTAATCAAAGTTTTGAGTCCCGGCACTTTTGTTAACAACAGGACACCGCAGGTGAATATACAAACACACCCAGATTATTCTTGGGACATTCGGATATGCATTCGGAACCGCAAAAACCGCGGAAAGGAAAGGGTTATAGAACATAAAAGATTCAAAATTGAAAAATACAGAATTACTGCATTGCATTTGAGAGAAATTGGCAATTTTTTGTTAGTATTTGACAAAACACGCCTTAGTGTTACCTTATCGGCGACTGCAATGAAATGAAATCAAAGAAAAATTCTGTATTCATAAAAGGGCCCTTATGTTGATACAAATTATTATGTCAAATAGCAAAGTTCACACATACATACATGCAATCTTTCGCAGAAACTGATTATCATTACTAAAAAAAAAAAAGTTTGTAATTTGTAATTGATTTGTAGTGCATTTCTTTTTTAATGGAAATTTAAAAAATCACACCACTGTCACCAGCACTTTCTCAATAACATTTTGGCACTGGCTACGGTTACATGAAAATGTAACAATAATAAAATAATAATTGTTACATTGGAGACTAATTGCCGGAATACAGGGTTGGGTAAGGAACTGATTGATTAAGAATGTAACAATAATATTTGTGACTACGGTTACATTGCTTTATTGTTACATTAAAGAATGCCATGATAATAAAAATTTCTTAAAACTTTAACCTCTGTAGTTTTGTTGCTTAATTCTTTGATATGTACTAGATAATATTTGTAATAATGATAATAATAATAATTTATTTATATTCAACAAAATTTGTTTATAATAAATAGTTTTAAGTATTAATTGTTTTGATGTTCTTAAAGAAACTGATCCAGTTAAGTAGTGCCAGTATCAAAGGCGAAAAATATATTTCAATGGTTCGTTGTTAAAAACTTGGACTAAGAAAAATGTCCACTTCTATGTATTTAACTGCACACCTCAGTACCCTTATTACTGTCATTATACTTTGAACAATGAATGAAGTGATTCCTATTACCAAATTTGTTTTGGGTGAAAAATTTAAAACTTCGGATGCGTTTAAATCGAAACTAAAACAATATCTAGACTCAAATTTTTATCTTAAAAAAAGTGCAGAATGGAATTAAACTATATGCAATACAAACGTGTAAAATGCCGCATCACTGGTTTGTAATGGCTGCTTGGACCGAGTGGTTTCACCAACAATGCGTCGGACTAAAACATGCTCTAGAAACAACATACTGGATTTGTAGAAACTGTCATTGTAAATGAGAATTTCAAAAATGTATGCAATATTGTAAATATCAAATAAAGATTTAAAAAATTGTATGCAATATTTTAAATATCAAATAAAAGTTTTCAAATTTTATTTTAATAAATATTTCTAGTCCCATCGTACATTGCAGTATATTGATGACGATGTAACAATAGCGCAATGTAACCGTAGACACAAATATTATTGTTACATTCATAATTAATCGGTTCCTTACCCAACCCTGCATTCCGGCAATTAGTCTCCAATGTAACAATAATTATTTTATTATTGTTACATTTCCATGTAAATGTAGCCAGTGCCTAATATTTTTACACTGGTGTACTAATTTTGGACAATATATTATATATATAAAAAAAAGAGAAAACTTTATCAGTTTTAACTAGTCCCATCGTACATTGCAGTATATTGATGACGATGTAACAATAGCGCAATGTAACCGTAGACACAAATATAATTGTTACATTCATAATTAATCGGTTCCTTACCCAACCCTGCATTCCGGCAATTAGTCTCCAATATAACAATAATTATTTTATTATTGTTACATTTCCATGTAAATGTAGCCAGTGCCTAATATTTTTACACTGGTGTACTAATTTTGGACAATATATTATATATATAAAATAAAGAGAAAACTTTATCAGTTTTAACTTAAAATGTTGAAACCAATTATACACCTAAGAACAAGGCTAATAATGTTTCACAAAATTATAAATGAAAGTATCGCCATTCCATCGCAAAAGTCATTACCGCAGAGTCAGTCAAATACGGGATCCACCCTTAAAGACTCCTACAGATTTTCTGTCTTTTGTCAAACCATTAAAGACTGGAACAAATTATCCTCTGATATAACTAAAAACACCACTACAGAAACATTCAAGGGTGCACTTGTAAATGCTCTTTTGTTCCGATGTTGGAAAGTTCCGGGCGGAAAGAACTAACTAGCCGAAAAGTTCCAGAGGAACTTATTAACTAGTTACTTTGTTCTTCCTCTGGTTTAAAAGTTCCACCGGAACAAAGTGACTAGTTGAAAAGTTCCAAAGGAACATATCAACTAGTTAGAAAGTTCCTTTTTGCCAAATTAGTCAAAACCGGAACTAACAAACTAGCCCAAAAGTTCCAACGGAACTTATCACTCAGGCAGAAAGTTCCATTTGGAGAATTGATGCAAAGTAAAAGCGCAACATATTATATTTTAACCTTTCAAAGGGAAACCAAGATACTGATTACAAAAGTCAAAAGGAACTTATCAACTAGCCACAAAGTTCCTCTTTGGCAAATAAGTCAAAACCGGAACTAACAAACTAGCCCAAAAGTTCCAACGGAACTTATCAACCAGTCACAAAGTTCCATTTGGAGAATAGATGCAAAGAACCACATGAGGAGGTGGGTATTCTTCCCTCTCTTGAGGGTACTATGAATACTAAATTTGCATGATAATGCAACTTATTTTGTTTTATGTGAGCTATGAAATACAACTTAAATTTTGCATATTTGTCCCCAAAGAAACCCCTTTCAGTGTGTTTGGGTATCCTTGTAAATTAATGATTTGCTCTTATATATACTGATACTCATTCTTCCCCCTCTTTCTACAAAAAGGGCGAAATATGGTATATTCGGAATGATGTAACTAGTTGTTCTGTTCCGCCAGAACTATTCAACTAGCTACATTGTTCCGGGACTTTTCAACTAGCTACTTTTTTCCGGAACTTTTCGACTGCACTCGGAATAAAACAACTAGTTGGAAAGTTCCATCGGAACGAAATAACTAGTTGAAAAGTTCCACCGGAACAAAGTAACTGACGGAACATAGTGGCTGTTACACACTCACACACGATGTGCTCCTTGATACTTATCCACACCTGAAATAAACAGGCAATCATGTTTTTATCTTAAATTTGAAAAAAATAAAAAGTAAAGAAATGAAATATTAGAAAAATTAAATAAAAATGAATAATAAAAAAACAATGAAAAATGGAAAAAGTAAAGTCATTTCGGCCATGGTTTTTCTTGGTTCAAAGGGAGGAAAATATAATTGTTTTTAGAAATAGACTTTAAGAAACAAATGGCAAAATATATTTTAATTATACATTTGTATTATCCACAGGCGCTTGGGTACAAGATTTGTTTTCATTGTTTGCACTGAATATTCAATTTACAATAATACAAGCATGCACACAGATAATTATACAACAGCATAATCCAGAGTACAGAATTTGTGCAACTGGAAAAGTTTATGGGGAGCAACTAATGTTATGTCAATGATATTTTGTTTGGGGTTGTATTGGCGTTTGCACATCTCATATCCACGGATATTTTTGGTCCCGTCTTCTCAGTCATTAGAATTAAATTTCTCAAAGAGTTTCAAAAAAGTATTTTTTGTTCCTCTATGTAAATTTTGTTTTGTTTGTCCTGGAGAAGAAAACTGATTGGTGGCTTACTGTCTGTATAAATACCAAAGAATATTCCGAAAAACCTGTTATTTTTCATATTTTAGGTTTTACTAATGTAACATACAGTACGATCAAGTTGTAGAATTCCCATGAAAAAAAATATACAGGAATAAATGAGATATAGCAGCACTGGACCGTTTCTGAATTAAAAAGCATTCTAAATCCAGTTTTAACAAAAAATTTCAGCTTGGGATATTTTATTTAAAATTAATATACATTACAGAATATCTGTTTAGAAAAAAAGTGACATGGTACATTCATACCTTTTTACAGTCATCCAACTTTTATTAAAATTTTCTAAAATTGTAAGAAAAGATTTATTTGAACCTTTTTTTTCCAATGAATTTTATTATCATGCATCATGATACAAAATGCAAAATGAAACAAGATGCACTCTGCTTCATCAAGTGTGTATAAACGTAAAAGAAATAGAAATACAATGTAACTAGTAATAAGCTTTTAGCCACTGTTTTACATTAACTTTTCAAGGAGGCTAAGGATCTTCATCATAGGTTGGGTATCATTAGTATAAATAACAGCTCTACAAAAATAACTGACAGTACTTTGAATTATTTCTAATTTCCTAAATATCAGTTCTTAGACTGGATGTTTAAGAAATTTCATGTTTGTTTTAAGATAAATGTACTAAATTTTGTTATCATTATTTTAGTTCCTATTAAAGTAACAGAGTTCTATTTGTTTTGCTTAAAATATAAAGTTTAGGCTTGTTTAGAAAAAAAAGTGTCATGATACAATCATATATTTTTACAGTCATCTAACATTGTAAGAAAAGATTCAATATGAACTATGTTATAACATTTTTTTATAGCATCATTTTGAAATGTATGAGAAATTATAAGAGATATGATATGTTTATGTACCATTGATTTTCAGTGTATCACCTTTATAGTTTCAGGTCAGAAATGTCCATTGTATTGGCAACAACGTGGGAGTATATGTTATAGATTCAGATATGTCAATCTTATGTCTTGGAATGATGCTGAAACTTGGTGTAAATCTCAGACTGCACATCTTGTCAAGTTTGAAAATACTAATGAAAGGGTAAGATGTTTTATTCAGGCCACAATAGATTTCTTTTTTTTTAACGTGGTAAACCATTTTATTTTGCATACTTTAAAAAAAAATATCTTGAATAACAGTCAAGGAATTTTAATCTTTGATTGCTTTGTCAATGACTGTTAGATTTCAAAATTATTGTGCCCTGTAACCTGTAACTGTACAAATTAAAATGTAGATCCTATTACTGAGAAAACAATGCAGTTCATATGGATACAATGGGTTGGCTTGTATAGGCAACCATTTACAGTAGTTATATTTAAAGATTGTTTTGTTAAAGACTATCTTTTCTGTTATCATCCCTGAATGTCTTGATTATTTTATATTAAACCATATGAACTCCTCCCATATGGCTCAACCAAAAGAAACAATGGCTGGGCATATATGTCATTTTATGTCTATCTAATGATGGTTAATTTAACTTGTTTTCACTAGTGCTCTCACTTGAATACAAGCATTGTTACTACGGCTACAAATAGTCTACCATGATTTGATTAAGCCTCAAAACATTTTTTGGGAGAACTGCTAAAGTATAGGAAAGTAATGATCATAACATTCCATTTCCACACATACTATGCATTTTTTTCTGTTTGTCATATTTATTAATGATCTGATTTCATTTTTTTCATGTGAAACAAAATATTCTATGAAATTTTAATCTATGAGGTAATTATATCATTCAACTGGGAAAATAAGTAAATAAATTATTTAGAACCAGACAGAATCACAAACAAGAAGACAGAAATGTTAATAAGATTTGTTAACATTTCTTTTTGATTATCTTTATCTGCAGTATTGGATGACGAGTAGAACAACACAAATCTTAACTCAAATCAAAAAGCCGACATTGCGTTTTTGGACTGGATTGAACAATATAGATCAGAGTACATCAGTGTATACGTGGGCTGATGGGAGTCCAGTTAGTCCTCTCATAACGTAAGTACATTACTCTTGGATTCTTTTGTGTTGTTGGATTGCTATCTTTTTTAACCTATTCAACACATCTCCTTTAACTTATTTTTTACACTGAAATTCTTGGTTTATTTGCATTATTAGGGCAGGGGGGATATCATATTAACTTATTTCTGTAAATCTGTTTTCCACAAACATGGCGTATGATTTGTCTGTGGAACTTCTCTTACAGTTTAAGAGGTATAACCTTTTCATTTTATATACTGAAAATCTTGAATTTTATGCTTTTGTAGGGTAGGTGTGATATTAACAAGGATCTCCATGACCTGTTTTATGATGGTGCACCGCCATTTGTTAAATAATCCTCTGCCATTGTCAAATGATCTCCCCCATTGTTAGATAACTGCACTATGATTGTCAAAATTTGTTTTCATTTTGCTAGCCGCCGCTCTTTTTGTTAGCAATTATAATCAGTTGCTTGTAATTGCACAACCCCTATTGTACTATATTTCAAAAGGTTTTCCTGATCACTGTTTAAAGCCTTGAGAGATATCCGGCTAATAATTGCCAATCACTTGTACAGGTAGATCGACACACCTGACAGGAGAACACATGAACAAGAGAGACGATTGATAGCATCATCTAACTACTTTTCAGCAAATGCTGATGAAAATTTGGATTAAAAAATAAAATTTAAATTCAATTACGAAGAAATAAGTTTAATAAGTCTAATACATGCTTTTATTGAGTTACACAATCAGCATTCCCCTTTTTAATCTAGTACAAGGTTAGACTCTTTATCGTAAGACTGAACATAATTTCATGCCAAATAACAATTATCCATCATAATGAATCACTTTAGTAGTTTAAAAGTAAATACTCGAAAATATTAACTGCAACTTGATAATCTGAGGAAATTTCGTATCGTCATTCCGAATTCATTTCATAGTTTACAATCAAATTAATACATCCAGTTTTCATTCAGAATGAAAGATGCATATTGCATGGTCTATTACTGTGGATTTGCAATTTTAAGTCATTAAAACCATTTCAGTTTTACTCACTTGCCCTCCAAAAATCTGTATTCAACGTTTTTCATAAATGGGTACGCTATTTCTTTTTGTTCATGCTGCAAATCATCTATCCCGGTTCGTGACTTCTGAACTGAATTTGACACTACTATTACGGTGGTGTTTGACAGTGAGAAAAACAGTCCCCATTTTTGTCTCACCTTGACAGAGTCAAAAAGCGAGACATAGGTTTGTTGTTTCCGGCGGCGGCGTCAACAATGTATTAGTTTGTGATTAGGTCTGGTTTATGGTGAACCACTAGTGGTAGGTCAATGATATTTGGTATGCAGTTGTATTGGCATTGGCACATCTCATTACCATGGAGATTATTTTTCATGAAAAAATAAAAAAAAAATAATGAAAGGTCACTATCATGAATTAATTAGGCGTCAAATACATAATTTTTATACTAAGTTTTGCTTTATGTGACGAGTGAACCAACACCTTCTAACGGAAAAGCTGGTAGAGTAACCAAGATGGATACCGAAGTATGCTGCGGTTGTCTTAAAACCTCATGGAAATATAATATGTAGAGACAACAACATCTGGGTTACCGCAAGGTGATAGTTTTATTGAGTCTACATGTTTCGCCACTTACGGTGGCGTCTTCAGGACAATTTAAACATAGAAAACAAATACTGAAGTACATAAAATGCGGTGCATATGGGGTTACAAAGGTTAACAAGACGTAACGTCACAATAATTGATTTGACAACTTTAAAATGAAAGTGAAAGTAAAAGTTAATAATGCATTGTCAGTGTCTTTTCCAAAATGGACAACACCTCACAGGACATTCCGTACCATTCCAAAAGGCTTCACTCGGAAAGAGGTACTACTTCCAATTGCGTCGGGAATGTAAGTTTTGCTTTGTTTAATTAGTTCATTTATTTATTTTAAATTTCAGGCGAGGTCAAGCAATATCTCCCAGTTCAACCAATCATTGTGTTAAAATAGATGGAAATAGATTAAGAAATGTGAACTGTAATACCAAGTTAGGATATATATGTGAAAGACACATAGGTAATTACACCTTAACATGATTAGTCTTTAAAATTAACTTATGTTTCTCTGGCTGCTATGAATTATTTCTAAAATTCAATGCATTTTTCAAGATAATTATTAATTTAAGCAACTTTTGATATTTAATTCTTAAAACAGAAAAAAAATGAAGTGTTTTAGTGGATATTTTTTAGTTTCGTTTTTTTTTTTTTACAGGTATTCCACTCACCTGCAATAGAGATGCTGGGTGGCAGTCTTTCAACAACTTCTGTTATAAAGTATATGCTAGTAACACTAACTCTTGGAATGGAGCTCAGTGAGTTGCAATACACTTTACACATTTTTTCAAATTAGAATGAAAGTAGTTTTGATGATAATATCTTCATAGTTTGTTGGTTTTTTAATGCACAGATTCAAAAGGTGTACCCTATAAATCTGTGGAAATTAATGCTGATTGCAGAAAATTTCATTTCATGGTTTAGGATGACTGTATGATAATGAAATCCACTAAAAGTGTCCCATCCATCTCAAAAATAATATATACATATAGCTCAGTTTTCCTTTGTCAACATTAACAAGGCACAAGTGTAGACTGAGAGAAGAGATAAATTATGAACAAGAATTAAAGTTGATGTTTGGTGTTAGTATGGCGAAATAAACTTATGATGCAATTTCAAAGCCCAGGATAATTAATAAATGCTGCCATTACTAGAGGTTTTAAGTTTTTTCAGTGGAATTTTTCATGATGCCTTGTATGATGGTTGAATTTAAAATTTTACTGGAAATATGAGACAGTGTTATTTGACTGTTACCTTGTAACTAATATATGGTTCAGTGTTTTGGTGTTGTTCATAGCAAAGGACATGATCATAGTTCTCTACAGGTTATAGTCCTAAATCTGCTTGAAATACTTGCTGTTGGATGTTGTGTCCTTCTATTAATTAATGTAAATTGAGAAATTATTGAGAGGTTTTTATTAATGTGAATAATGTGACTTGGTGAATATCGCAATGATAAGCACTCACATTCTGATATCTTATACATATACCTGTATGCAGATTTTCATGAAATCACAATATATATCTTGCATTTTTGTCCATTCTTCAAAAATCGCAATAATAAATGCACACAATATTTTCTGAATTTACAGTATTTATCAGTGGTATGCACTTCCCTATCTTACTGTTGCAATATGAATTAAAAGGTGATGGATGAAGTTCTGTCATGTAATGTTATTTTTGAAAACCATTCATAAAAATTTCACAAGAATGATACACTACAAATGATTAGTCAATGTACTGCACATGTATTAATTTGATTTATTTTAGAACTATTTGTAACAAACTGGGAGGAAATTTATTTACAGCAGAAAGTGCTGCAGAAGAGCAAATTATACATGATTTTGCCAAGAATACTCATAAAAATTACTGGATTGGTGTAAAAGCTTATCAACAGGTAAGTATATAGACATATAAAGGAGGTAGAGCTTCTAGTGGACACGTTGTGGTGGAATATCTGAAAAAACATTATATTTGAAAACATACTGTGATGGAATATAAAAAAATGATTGTAAGGGTACCCTCCCACTGGCAAAAACTACCAAAATACAAGGTTATATGCAGATATCCGCCATTTAACTGCTTGAATGAGCCAATCTCATGCCACCCTAAAATAATCTGAAAATAAGACTCTTTGTCTAAATTTTTTAATTATGCAAAAAAAAACATTACACTGAAAACAGAAAGAAAGTATAAACAGAACAATTTACAAACAGCCAAATTGAGATCTACAAACCATTTCAGTGGGCAATAATATTATATTTTGGGGAGGGGGCTCAAAAATTGATTGCTAAAAAGATGAAAATTTCAGTATGGCACATTTTTGCCCCATGAGAAATTCAGGCTTCTTCAAACCTCTGGTTTGGTCATATATTGGAAAACTTTCCATTTAAATGCAAACTCCTGAGTAGAAAATAATGATATATTTATTTTGATTGGCTAATGTCTTTGCATAACTATCATAATGCTTAACAAATGGTTAAATTTGACAAAGTCACATTTACAGTTCAGTGGATCTTTGTAAATGCCATAAACAATCAAACATTAGTTATATAAATGAAACATTTGTTTGTTACCTAAAACTTATCAATAGACTATCAATTCCCTTACTGATGACTTATTTGTCATGCTGAGATTTTTGTACATTTTAGGGTAATTCCTATGCCTGGCTGACAGTACCCAATAATACTGTAGTCAACCAAGTATTTTGGGCTAGAACACCTCATTTGCAACGGTTTGTATGTTATAATTTTGGAAAGTTACAACAAATAATGCTATATATTTGAATTAGAGATCCGTCAATATGTCTCTGATTTGTCCAACAATTATGGCCTTTTAGGGATGAATATTTTTTTGTAAAGTGTTTGAAAAATGACTACAATGATTCTTTTATGTAATGAAGGTCTTAACACAATTTTACTCTGGGAATTTCCTAAGATTGTTTTGTTCTGCTTGACTATGAGAAAAGCTTCACTTCTTAAACAGAAATTAATATTTGAATAATCAGGAAATTCAATTAATGTTCCTTGGAAAGTGCTGCTCTAATGTCACCTATGGGACATACATTTTTAGCTCACCTTGCCCGAACTGCACCTGCCCGTGCGGGATTTGAACTCACAACCTCAGTGTTGGCTGGCTAGTGATACAGTAGTTCGACTACTAAGACCACTCGGCCACATAGGCCCCTTCAGAATGTTGAGATCTACCTGCTGTTCATTTACGTCGAAACTGTCAGACGACTTCCAATTTTTTCCCATTTTTGATGATTATTTTGAAAACTATAATAGATAGAAAGAATCTTTAATCAGGAAAAGTGATCAACAAGACAAGATGTACAAATAAGTCAACATGGCTGAAATCTTGCCAGTGGTTTTTTAAAGAGCCAAAATGATCAAGACAGATCTACAAATTAGTCAACATGACTGAAATCATCAGTCGACTCCTTATTGAAGTTATAGCCCTTTAATGACGTATTTGCATTTTGCCTATTATCTTGAAATTAATATGAGGCAGGCATTACCTGTGAAAGGGGACGAAGTCTGTATGAATTATTTTTTTTTAATTCAAACATATTTTAACTTCAAAATATGTTAAAAAAAGAAAAGGAAATACCGTAACGTTTCCGATTTTGGTTCTGTTGTGAGGGATTTTAGTTGTGACGTTATTTAAGTTATGACGTCATATTCAATGTAAACAAGAAACGCTATCATTAGATAACCTTTTTTTCATATCAAATAATTGTTAAAAATGAAATTGGTATTGTGTTCCTTCCTATATTTTACTAGACTGATAAATATATATTTTACTCAAAGTATCATGACAAACGAGACCGGAAGAAGGAAGTAGATTTCTGCGCAAATGCGGGAAAATAAAAAAGTCTGAAAAAAAGTTAACGATTTTGAGTTCATTAGTAGAATGATTTTTTAGCGGGAAATTTTTAAAATTTAAAATTTGATTTTTTTTTGTTTTTTTGATTTTTCTACCGTATTAGGATACGAATAATAGATAGAAAGATAGAAACTTTAAATAGCAAAAATGATCAGCAAGACAAGATCTACAAATAATGGCTGGAATCTTCAGTTGACTCATTATTGGTGTCATTGCTCGTTAAAGATGATTTTTACCATTTTTTTTAAGATTTGCCTATTTTCGTGAAAAGTATGATAGAAACAAATGTAGTTAGAAACTTTAAAAAGCAGAAATGATCAGCAGGACAAGGTCTACAAATACTTCAATACATGTATGACTGAAATTGTCAGTTAACTCTTTATCTTTGCGCTTTCATGATGATTATCACCAAAAAGCGGCCATTGTTGAAGATGCAGGTGAGCGACACAGGCTAGTTTTTGCATTCTAATCCTAAGAGTATTGGTTGTTTCAGCGATGTATGTTAGTGACTCATGACTATACAGATGTAAATGTATAAATACTGGTAAAGAATTAAGATAAAAGTTATTAAATTACCCATTTATATGGTGCCTAATGTTTGCATTTATCTGTTAGAAATTTATGTTTGTTGATAAACAAAAGGAAACTATTACATTCAACTGTGTTAAGTAAATTTATATTCTTATCACAAAAGCAGAACCTTTAAATAAAGACTCCCTGGACTATTATCTCTTTTTTGATTTTCCTTTTAATAACAGCAAAGACAGGTTTGAATAAAAATGAAAAGATTCAAAATGTTTCTTGTTGTACCAGTGAAAACTTGCATTGGCAAATGAACAGCCAACAAGATACTTCAATGTAACTATCTATGCAGTTATTTTTAAAGCTAAGGTATAGAAGTATTATGTTTTAGCCACTGAAACTTGCTGAACCACTTTCAAATAAAGGAATTCAGTGGCGGATCCAGAACTTTTCATAAGGGGGGGGTCCCGCTGACTGACCTAAGGGGGCAGGGGGCTCCAGTCATGCTTCAGTGATTCCCTATATAATCAACCAAATTATTCCCAAAAATAGGAAGGGCAGGGCCCGGGACCCCCCCCCCCCCCCTTGGATCCGCCTATGGAATTCTTAATCAGAACCTTGAATGAATTTGGTTCATATCAGAAAAAAGTAATTTGGAACCATTTTTCTTTAGAGGGGGCAGTGTTACAATGATGTCTCAGATGCAGGGGTTCAAATCCCGTTGAGGGAGGAACAAAAATTAGCAGATCTAACATTGTTGGGATAAATTTGAGACTAAGTACATATAAATTATGGTGTTAGCCCTATATAACCACAGGTTTTCTGATGGAGAATGTCTGTCGTAAAGTTGTCACATATTTAGACGTATATACCAAACAATGTTAGAAAACGCAAATTTTTGTTCTTCCCTCAGCGGGATTCAAACCCTTGCATCTGTGACATCGTGGCAACACCGCCTGCACCGTGTCCAGTGCTCTCGACCACCTAGGCTACAAAAAAATATAGCTTTCGGTGGTCCATGTAATGCCTTTCCTCCTCAGCTTTTTCTAGGGTTGAAACACAGTACATGATGTAAAGTGGCAAGTAGATGGTGTACTTTTCAAATCAGCTTTTTTGTCTGTCGTAAAGGATGATAATGTTAATTACCATGGCGCCACATCAAATATTAATTTTATTATACATGTCTAAACATGTGACAACTTTATGACAGACATTCTCCATCGGATAACACGTGGTTATACAGGGCTAACACCATATATATATAAATTGTCTCAAATTTAGCCCAACAATGTTAGATCATCAAATTTGTGTTAGCAAATTTGTGTTCTTCCCTCAGCGGGATTCGAACCCTTGCGTCTGTGACATCTTGGCAATATATATATAAATATAAAATGTTAAGATATTAGTCAAAGATCTTTCTTACGAGGGCGCGGGATCGTTACGAGTAACAATACCTGTACACAATAAATAAATTATACAAACGCCTGAAAAGTGTACAAAACAACACCAATATTGAAAAAAAGGAAACATTAAATGTAAGTATCTATAAATATTTCGGATAACAGATATCCTTCATCAGTATGATTATGATCTAAAATGAATCATATCAATCTATTCTGATTTAACTATAACAATCTTTAAATTTATACAATTAAAACCGAACAACGCTTGTACAATTCTAAAATTTCAGAAATGACGTAGGTTAGGTATTTACAACAGAGACTGCATATATATGCTATATATACCTGGGTATACTTTTCAGATCTCAGTATAACAGGACATGTGCAGCAGTCCTGTATTCCAGAACATCATCAGCCATAGCATGGCAACCTGTCAATTGTAATGGAAGACGAAACTTTGTCTGTAAAAAAGCTGAAGGTAGGAAGAAAAATCCAATATCATTTAGTCTGTGTTAGTTCACTTTACTGGCTGCAGGCCATGCACAGAAAAGATATTACACATATAATAGGAAATTTTTCCAAGCTTTTTTCTGGACTTGCTATTAAAAATGACGTTTAAAAATTCTCACTGGAATAAACTTTTCTATTTGACAGTATTGATAGGACTTTTACTATATCAGGAATTGTTTTTACTGGGAAGTTTTTATGCAATTTTTTGCATCTGCTAAAATGGAGAAAATTAGAAACACACAACAATAACACAAATACTGTACTATTTTGCAGGATCATGTCAGCCTGGATGGGTTGCACATCAAAACAGATGCTACCAATTTAACACACGATATTTATTGTCATGGCAACAGTCAATGCAGTTCTGTAGAGGCCAAGGAGGTAGAATGGTAGAATCATATGGGTCAGTACGAAAAATAGTGTTGACCATCACTTAAAATGTATTACCATTGCTTTGGAAATAATTGTTTATTATTTGTTTGTTTATGTAGCAGTGTGTTAAGAGGTGAAATACGTATTTATACCCCTGCTTTAAAAAGGGGGGTATACTGTTTTATCTCTGTCTGTCCGTCCGGAGAATATTTTTTGTCACATCTTTCTCAGGAACTACATTAAAAGGATTTCTGAAATTTGGTTTCAAGGTTTATATAAGTCAGCTATACTGTGTGATGCGTTTTCAGATTCATCACTCAACAACTTCCTGTTTACAGAACACTTATATCATTTTACACATGAGTAGCCAGGTTGAAAATTTTTCACAAATGTATATTTGGGCGGGGGTATTATCAGTGAGCAGTAGCTCACAGTTTCACTTGTTTTTTAGTAGCAAATTATAAGTTATATCCTGACATTGCTAAGAATGAAAAAAAATTGTAGTATTAAAAGTTCACACTTACATGTACAAACAAAGATAAAATATGTTTCAGGATAGCGTAAGAAACAAGCTCATTCTTTTTAGAATTATTGAAACAACAGTAGCATTTCTTTCATTGAATACAATGTTTAATTTGGATGCATGAGGTCTTGTTAAAATTGTGAGGCAACACTTAATACTATCATTGGACAGTTTGATGCAATATCTGGTAATTCTGAATTGTCACATGACGTCACACACCAGTCAGTGAAACATGTTCCTTCCTGGTTCCAACAAATTAAAATCGAGAAAAAATTTGTGATATAGCAGCTTTACGGATAGATAGATTCATTATTGATAGTAATAACAATTTGTAGACATTTCACAATCAAAGTTTTCCTTCTGTCTGCTCTTCCTAGTTAACCCCAATTGATTTTTTCCCTGTAACATTCAATACATGTATTATATTCCCTATGTCAATTTCATCCTGCTCAGAAATTTGTTTTTATTTGGTAAGTGACATTGGAGAAACTGACCTGAATTTGTCAATGGCATCATTTATTTCACTGTTGAATTGAGTTCATAGAATAAGATCCTTGACAGCATATGTAGCTTAGTGGCCGGTTCTTCATGCTTATGTGCAGAAATAGACTTGGTTTGTGACTGAGGATTGCTCATTTTTGAATAAGAAACTTGAAAAACTGACACTGCTGTGCTATTGAAGCTTATTATCTTGTATAGAGGTTGTTGGATAATTAAAGTTAAGGTTTTGTAGTTTAATAAAGAATCAAGTAAAACGTGGACTAGTTATATAAATGAAAAAGCTGCCTACTCTTTAAATCAATATTTATTTAGCTTGACATTTATCACTGTAATTACTTTATTGTTTTTAAAGTGATCAGTATTATTATTTTTTAACTTGATTTGTACTTGATTTGTATTTGATGTTTTTTTTAGGAATACGGCTACTAATTTTTTGAAATCCTATTTGGATGAATTGCGGTCTGCTGGTATTCGTTCTTTTTGGATAGGAGCTACAGGTAAATATATCAAATTATTCAGCACTGTGAAAAACAGAAAATCTGTTTCTTTGAGCCCAATTTATTGCCAGTAAAGATGAGATAGAAATTTAAGAAATGAGATGGAAAGTTAGAAAATCATTTAAAACTAAAAGTAAATTGAAACATTCCATACGATTCTTCTTTACATTTAATTAAACTGAATAAACACCAGCTTTTCTAGAAAAGCCACTTTACAAAATATGTCATTAACATGTTTTACATACCTCCTCCCTTCACTAATACATACTTTAGCTATTGTGAAATGGCCTAAATAAATATTTTCAAAAGAATGAGCATACAAAGGGTCATAATTTGCCCTAAAAATCAATGAAAACAAGCCAGTAATTTTGGTAAACATTTGATATAAAATATGTTTATATGACAAATGCAAAATCAACAAGATCTGATGCATTTTATCAGTAATGTTGTCATTTTGATGTCAAATTGTGCACTCTTTAATATGATGAAATCGTAACTTTTACTATTTTGGGGCTAAATTTTGATTATGTTTTGCTGAAGACAACATTGTCTACATGCATGGACTGCAATAATTTTTTTCTAGGACATGTACCTTACTCATAAACATTTTGTAATAACAAATTTATTTAGGTCAAAGGGTGTGACTAAGGTGGTTTTCAGAAAGAATTGTACCTTAAATATGCATTTGAACATGAAATATCGTTCAAAATAGGTAAAAATATCGTAGTTTTGAAGCTCTCAACATTGACTAACACAAACAGTAAATGGAAGAAATTTGTGAAATATATCAATTCCAATATTTTAGATCGTAAATATTTGTTATCAAATTGATAGTAAAGTTAAAAACTTTGTACATTTCAAATTTAAAATACAGAAGAAAAACTTTCAACAATAAAAGTTATCTGTTTGATGTTTTTTTTTTTAGATTCCTTATTTTTCTCCCCTTTCCATTGTTGTTTTTGTTCTGTTTATCTGTCTGTCAGTCTGTCACAAAAGTTTGTGAATGTAAACTTTCCTACCTTTTACATAGGACTGAAGCAAAAATTGGAAAATAGCTGCATATAATTGGTTTGTTTTTTTAAATTTTATTTTTGTAGCAGATTGATTTTTGGAGTTTTCCCACAGCATGATTTTTTTTTGTCCTTTGCACACATGAGAAATTTTCACATTATTCGTGTACAGTTAACAGCAGAATGGAATGAAAGATGACAGAATTACTTTTTAACATTTGTAGTTGTGATTATTTTGATTTTCATTGCAGAAAATGGACTTTGCAATTGCAACATTCAACATCATGTGAATTAAAATATATTACAGGTTACATCAGAATAAAGCACTCAATAGACAGAATTGCTTCATAATAGATCAGCACTCCTACCAGTTTTGTAGATGAAGTTCCAATTTTTTTTTTATGTGTTCATAAAATTTAGAGTTACTGTAAATTCAGAAATTATTGCGAGGTTTTTATTATTGCGAAAAATGCGACAGAGTTGTAAACGCAATAATTTAAACTTGCATTTTGAAATATTTTATTTGAATTAAACAGGATTTTTCTCAAAATCGTAAAAATTAAAATCGCATTTCAGTCTAAAATGATAAAATCGCAATAATAAATGCAAGCAATAATTTCTGAATTTACAGTATTGTCTTTTGTAACTTTGATAGGGAAAAATGAGAGGGGGTTTATGTGTTTGTTAAAACACACTGATTTTTTTTGTTCCTATATTTATTCCTATATTAATGGTTTTTGGCATCTCAAAACAAAAGGAGTTTCAAGTTATTAATCATCAGGTATTATATTTTGTGCTGTACTTAACCTCTCATACTCTACAAATAAGGATATTTTATACTTTATAATATTTTTTTCAGATAACAACACTAGTACTTACAAATGGTCCATTGGAGCTGCTATAAAATATCAGCATTGGGTTCATAATCCACCCACAAATACAAAAAATAGACAAGACTGTGTTTATATCAGTACATGTAAGTCATTATCTGGAAATACTGCAGATTAATGTGACAGCATTTAAGTCAATTCATAGAAGTAAATTAATCAAAAAATAAAGGATGTGTAAGTCATTACATAATTCATCTGAATGTAGGAGAATATTAAAATAAGAAGATGTGGTATGATTGCAAATGAGACAACTCTCCACAAGAGACCAAATGACACAGAAATTAACAACTATAGGTCACCGTACGGACTTCAACAGTGAGCAAAGCCCACATAGTCAGCTATAAAAGACCCCGAAATGACAAATGTAAAACAATTCAAACGAGAAAACAAACGGCCAAATTTATGTACAAAATAATGAACAAAAACAAATATGTTACACAGCAAAAAACAACAACTACTGAATTACAGGCTCCTGACTTGGGACAGGCACATATGAGAATGTGGCGGGGTTAAACTCGTTTGAAGGTGCCAACCCTCCCCTAACCTGGGACAGTTCTGAACTGTACAACATAAGAACAAACTATAAAAATCAGTTGATAAAGGCTTAACTCATCAGATGGATACAAATAGAAATGCATCTAACAAAAACACAGAGTGGAAGTGGACGGGTACTTATACATCCCCACAACAAAATGACACTAAGTACAGATCTGAGAGTACTTGCAGTTACTGACAGCTAGTTCAAAGCCAATAACAACTAGTAAAAAAAAATCATGCATCTTAGACTAAAATATCAATCAGTCCACATCCAACATCCAATGGATTTAGATTAAAGACCTCGTAAACAGTTGGAGAAAAAGATGGCCTTGTGCAATGCCAAGATACAGCTATCGACAGATTGTAGAGCCATGAATATGTATATAGAAATAATATTTAGTTTGATTTTAATTTACTGATAACAAAGTCAATATTAATACCAATAAAAACAATATTCAAAGATCTAATTACAGTGTTGAATTTGTAGCCTTTTAGAATAAGTTTATTTAAAGGATCGATAATTTTACCCGGATTGTTTCTAAATTTCCGGGCTTGGTAAACAACTTCTCCGTAAAAATGAGGATTTGCTCTCCCGTTTGAAATAAGTTTTCTACAGGTACAACCAAACGTAAAAACCAAATCTTTATATCTATGGAAGAATTTAGTAAAGGTTTTAAGTAACTTGTGGTAAAGAAATTCCTGACTTAGTAATTTACCAGTAATACATAGATTACGTTCATTGAAATACAAAACGTCACAACAGACACGGGCATAGCGAACGAGTTTTGATATATAACCACCTTAAGATGGTGCCAAAGGAACATCTCTGTCCAAATAAGGAAAATTAACAATAGGGAACGAAAAATTGTCCCTTTTGTCATAAATTTTAGTGTAAATTTTCCCGTGGAAAACTGAAATATCTATATCTAGGAAATGAGAGTTATTACCGTTTATATTTGATTTATTTAAAGTAAGTTCCTTTGGGTAAATTTCGGCAGTATATTAAGAAAATGCTTGATTATTTAATGAAAAAATATCATCAAGATAACGGTAAGTGTTGTTTAATTTATCAATTAAATGCAATTTAGACGGGTCTTTATTGAGTTTGGTCATAAACTGTGATTCATAACAGTACAAGAACAAGTCTGCTATCAAAAGTCCTCTTTGTTACATGCACAAGAGGACTGCCTCCCTGCCAACACTCAAGGAATCCCTGGAGTTATATTCACAAAGGCTAGATATACCATACTGACACTGGTGCCAATACAGGGTCCAAGTACATTTAATAATGCTTAAAAGTTCAATGAACATGTAAACAAAGACAGATTTTGGCAAACTATCCACAGCTAAAATTATTAAGCTTTTTTGAGGTTTCAGTTAAAGCAAAATTTATGCAATGAATGTTAAATAATCAAAATCTAAAATGAATAACTTCTAAATACTGCAATCAGATGGGACTATGTTTAAATGAGTTTTGGAGCAATTGTCCATGATGGCAGATATTTTTTTGAGAACAAATTAATTTTTTAAAGTGATACAAGCTGCCAAATTAAAAAAAAAGGTTTGTAGTTAAAATGTATATTTCAGGTGATAGAAATGGTTTATGAGGACCCACACCATTCAGGCATTCTGTATGTGCCTGTCCCAAGTCAGGAGCCTGTAATTCAGTGGTTGTCGTTTGTTGCTGTTTATCATATTTGTTTTTCGTTTATTGTTTTTTACATAAATCAGGCCTTTAGTTTTCTCGTTTAAATTGTTTTACATTTGTCATTTCGGGGCCTTTTATATGCGGTATGGGTTTTGGCTCATTGTTGAAGGTTGTACGGTGACCTATAGTTGTTAACTTCTATGTCTTTTGGTCTCTGGTTGAGAATTCTCCCATTGGCAATCATACCAAATCTTCTTATTTTTATAAAAAATACTAAATGTTTAATAAAAACTCTGATAAACAAAGTTTTTATTATAAAAGATAGATGTAAATCTACTAAATTCCATTGTAATTATTGCTATTAAAAATCTCATCAACACAGACAAAGATTGCTGAGTTCTGATAACATATGTGTGTGGTTGACTTTGTAATTAGACATAGACAAAGAAGTCAGAATGTGCTTGTTTATTAAATAAATTAAATTGTTTTTATAATGTTATTATATGTATTTAATGTTTGAATATATTATTTTTATCACTTCAATAGTTTTTTTTTTGTATCTCTAGGTAAAGTGAAGAATTTTATAATTGACGAAAAAGGCTTTGTTTAAAAAAAAAAATGTTTACCATCCAAAACTGCATATGTGTGATTTTATCCCTGAATAGGATGATCTTCATAATGACAATTACCAATCTTGTTATATGTAGGTTCCACCACTGCATTGCATGTGATATGATATGTCACCTATCCAGACACAAGGCTTTAAGATTGTTATAGATATCTGAATTTTAACTGACGAGAGTGAAAAAAATATATTATCACACCAGATAAGGTTGTGTTTCTCTATAAATGACTGTTAGACAATATTTAGGGAAACTTAATCTGGTTTTTGTATCACCTGCGACGAAAGTCAGACATAGGGAATGCTTTTCCAGTGACGACGGATCCGGCGTCAACAATTGTTAAGTTTTCTGCTTAAGTTAGTTTGATAGGAGTTTACTATGAAGTTGCATTACTATCAGTACATATCAGCTTGACGACTATTTCGAAACCCTGCCCCCTAAGTCATGGTCCAGTGACTTTGAATTAATAAACTATTTTCAATGTTAAGTTTTCTGTTTAAGTTAGTTTGATAGGAACTACTTGTGATATGAAGTGGCATTACTGTCAGTACATATCAGTTTGACGACTATTTGGAGGCCCTGTGCCCTAAGTCATGGTCCAGTGACTTTGAATTAATAAGCAATTTTCAATGTTAAGTTTTCTGTTTAAGTTAGTTTGAGAAGAACAACTTGTGATAGATCAATGATATTTTGTAAAAAGTCGCATTACTATCAGTACATATCAGTTTGACAACTATTTGAGGCCAAAGCCCCTAGGACGTGGTCCAGTGACTTTGAATTGATTAGCAATTTTCAATGATAAGTTTTCTGCTTAAGTTAGTTTGATATGAACTACTTGCGATAGGTCAATGATATTTTCTATAAAGTTGCATTACTATCAATACATATCAGTTTGACGACTATTTCAAGGCCCTGCCCCCTAGGTCATGGTCTAGTGACTTTCAATCAATTAACAACTTTCAATGTTAAGTTTAATGTCAGTTTGAAGATCGTTTTGACGACCTGCCCTCTATGTCATGGTCCTGCAACTTTGAATTAATTAGTAATGTTGCTGTCCATCAGATTGTCTTTTTCTGAATTTACTGCCTACAGGCGAGACATATCTCCATGTCAACAGTTTATTTTTCAATGATTTGAAAAAAAATCATGTTCTTTCTATGTGACAACATCAGCATGGCCTCCTTTTTTCTTGACAATACAATAGTGAAATCGAAGGAAATCCAGAAAATTTGATATTATTTTTGAATTTTTATAAACGAAAAACATGCAAACCACATGATGATTATAAACAAATATGAATTATTTAGGGAAACTATGAATTAGCTTAGATTAGAGAAATATTGATATTTTTGTTAATATATGACCTGCTTTGCAAAAAAATGTATATTTCAGATGATAGAAATGGTTTATGGCGACCCTCAGCAAACTGTGGAACTAAGAGGGCCTTTATCTGCACCATAGCATTTAACAGACCTGTCAAAAAAATTACTACTCCAAGACGTAAGTACTAATTCTCATTTACAAAACAGTAACTACTCCAAGACTTTTAGTACTTGTTCTATCTTACAAAACAGTGACCACTCCAAGACGTGAGTACTAGTTCTCTCTTACAGAACAGTAACTACTCCAAGATGTAAGTACTAGTTCTCTCTTACAAAACAGTAACTGCTCCAAGACGTGAGTACTAGTTCTCTCTTACAGAATTGTAACTACTCCAAGACATGAGTACTAGTTCTCTCTTACAGAACAGTAACTGCTCCAAGACGTGAGTACTAGTTCTCTCTTACAGAATTGTAACTACTCCAAGACATGAGTACTAGTTCTCTCTTACAGAATTGTAACTACTCCAAGACGTGAGTACTAGTTCTCTCTTACAGAATTGTAACTACTCAAAGAATTAAGTACTAGTTCTCTCTTTCAAAACATTAACTACTCAAAGATCTAGGTACTAGTTCTCTCTTACAAAACAGTAATTACTCCAAGATATGAATACTAGTTCTCTCTTACAGAATTGTAACTACTCCAAGACGTGAGTACTAGTTCTCTCTTACAGAATTGTAACTACTCCAAGACGTGAGTACTTGTTCTCTCTTACAAAACAGTGACTACTCAAAGACCTAAGTACTTGTTCTCTCTTACAAAACAGTAATTACTCCAAGATGTGAGTACTAGTTTTCTCTTACAGAATTGTAACTACTCCAAGACATGAGTACTAGTTCTCTCTTACAGAATTGTAACTACGCCAAGACGTGTTACTAGTTCTCTCTTACAGAATTGAAACTACTCCAAGACGTGAGTACTAGTTCTATCTTACAAAACAGTGACTACTCAAAGACCTAAGTACTTGTTCTCTCTTACAAAACAGTAATTACTCCAAGATGTGAGTACTAGTTTTCTCTTACAGAATTGTAACTACTCCATGACATGAGTACTAGTTCTCTCTTACAGAATTGTAACTACTCCAAGACGTGAGTACTAGTTCTATCTTACAAAACAGTGACTACTCAAAGACCTAAGTACTTGTTCTCTCTTACAAAACAGTAATTACTCCAAGATGTGAGTACTAGTTTTCTCTTACAGAATTGTAACTACTCCAAGACATGAGTTCTAGTTCTCTCTTACAGAATTGTAACTACTCCAAGACGTGAGTACTAGTTCTCTCTTACAAAACAGTAACTACTCACAAAGACCTAAGTACTAGTTCTCTCTTACAAAACAGTAATTACTCCAAGATGTGAGTACTAGTTCTCTCTTACAGAACAGTAACTACTCCAAGACTTGAGTACTAGTTCTCTTACAAAACGGAAACTACTCCAAGATATGAGTACTAGTTCTCTCTTTCAAAACAGTAACTACAAGAAGTGAGTACTAGTTTTCTTGTACAAAACAATAACTACTCCATGATGTAAGTACTAGTTCTCTCTTACAAAACAGTGACTACTCAAAGACCTAAGTACTTGTTCTCTCTTACAAAACAGTAATTACTCCAAGATGTGAGTACTAGTTTTCTCTTACAGACTTGTAACAACTCCAAGACATGAGTACTAGTTTTCTCTTACAGAATTGTAACTACTCCAAGACATGAGTACTAGTTCTCTTTTACAGAATTGTAACTACTCCAAGACGTGAGTACTAGTTCTATCTTACAAAACAGTGACTACTCAAAGACCTAAGTACTTGTTCTCTCTTACAAAACAGTAATTACTCCAAGATGTGAGTACTAGTTTTCTCTTACAGACTTGTAACAACTCCAAGACATGAGTACTAGTTCTCTCTTACAGAATTGTAACTACTCCAAGACGTGAGTACTAGTTCTATCTTACAAAACAGTAACTACTCACAAAGACCTAAGTACTAGTTCTCTCTTACAAAACAGTAATTACTCCAAGATGTGAGTACTAGTTCTCTCTTACAGAACAGTAACTACTCCAAGACTTGAGTACTAGTTCTCTTACAAAACGGAAACTACTCCAAGATATGAGTACTAGTTCTCTCTTTCAAAACAGTAACTACAAGAAGTGAGTACTAGTTTTCTTGTACAAAACAATAACTACTCCATGATGTAAGTACTAGTTCTCTCTTACAAAACATCTGAATTTATATCATAAACATTTTATGATGTTAACCAGTTTCCAAAGAGTTTTTTAATAGAAGGAAATTGTTCAGACTATGATAAAATGCAACTTGTTCAGGTCTACTGAATTTCATAACAGACTGTTCTAACAAAAGCATAGGAAATGAAAGGCAGCTACTGAACTAAGGGGTTTTAAGTTATCTAATTATCTGAGAGCATCATCACTTGGTTAACAATTACAGAATGTCTGTGTGACAGGTAAATTCCATGAGTTGTAGCCACAATCTTGTCCTTTTTTCCACATGCCTTTCATACCACAACTTACTACCAGATTTTTACTGAGCAATATGATGGATGTCAATAATGGAGTAGAAACTTCATACTCTTCATTTCATATATCACATTCATTATTATAACCCCACCAGCTAGGTGAAGGGGGCATTAAGTGTTACCCTTGAATGTCCTTCAGTCCGTCTATCTGTCCCATTTTCGTTTCAGCACTCATAACATAAGTTTGCCTCATGCATATTTTATGAAACTCACATACCGTTCTAGAGTTATGCTCCTTTATAACTTGGAAAACTGGATTGACATTTATTCTTTTCAGGATTCATGGTTTGGGCATTGTGTTTTCAGTAAAAGATAGCTTTCTAAATCAGCAGTGGTCACATTGATAGATCACAAAATTGTCATCCTTCCTAATTATACCCCACGCAACGAGTTGCGGAGGGTATAATGTTTTTGACCCGTCCGTCCGTCTGTCCGTCCATCTGTCTGTCCATCCGTACGTCCGTCTGTCCGTCCGTCAGTCCTATTTCTTGTCATCGCAACTCCTCTCAAACCACACTACAGAATTTCACGAAACCTTTTTAGATAATAATGACATACTATGTAGTTGTGCATATCGACAGGAAATTATGATTCAATTTTTTTCTAGGAGTTACGCCCCTTTGAACTTATTTACTTTAATGTACTACTGCAACAGTTTGTCATCGCAACTCCTCTCAAACCACACAACAGAATTTCATGAAACCTTTCCAGATAATAAGGACATACTACGTAGATGTGCATATCGACAGGAAATTACAATTCAATTTTTTTTCCAGGAGTTACGCCCCTTTGAACTTATTTGCCCAATATACTACTGCAACCTTTTGTCATCGCAACTCCTCTCAAACCACACAACAGAATTTCATGAAACCTTTTCGGATAATAAGGACATACTACGTAGATGTGCATATCGACAGGAAATTACGATTCAATTTTTTTTCCAGGAGTTATGCCCCTTTGAACTTATTTGCCCAATATACTACTGCAACCTTTTGTCATCGCAACTCCTCTCAAACCACACAACAGAATTTCATGAAACCTTTTCGGATAATAAGGACATACTACGTAGATGTGCATATCGACAGGAAATTACAATTCAATTTTTTTCCCAGGAGTTACGCCCCTTTGAACTTATTTGCCCAATATACTACAGCAACCTTTTGTCATTGCAACTCCTCTCAAACCACACAACAGAATTTCATGAAACTGTGTAGATAATAAGGACATACTATGTAGATCTGCATATTGACAGGAAATTATGATTCAATTTTTTTTTCTGATACAATTTTTTTTTCTTACACTTATTTTATTTCTCCAGTGACAATGTGGGGACGTGGGGTATGTGAGCGCGCTCACTAAGGTTCTTTCATTCATGAGTGAGAGGAGGGTCATACCACATATCCCTATTTTTACTTTATTAATCATTTTCTCAATTAGACAAAAACAACAAAAAGGACTAGCTTATCCAGAACACAACCAATACTTGCAACGTTTATTCCTTTTATGAAATTTATATTATATAATATATACCCTGATTATATCATTGAAAGTGGATTTTGCTAGTTGTTGGCATTTAGCATTTATTGAAAATTCAGAATGGAGAAAATCTGATTAAGATATGTTTTTTTTAACTTATTATTTCAATCCCAACTAACTTAGTTTTAAATCATTGCAGCAACACTAAAGTGTGATTCCCATTGGACTTTGAATAGTGGAAATTGTTATCAATTTAACGACACCAAGAGGAACTGGGATGGTGCTCGACAAATTTGTCAACGACAAGGAGGAGATTTAGCTACAATTAACACAAACAGACTTCATAGCTTTGTTATCCGTAAGGAAATATTTTTGTATGATAATAGATATATAAAATTTCATCTTAATAATTTTTATAAAAAAGATTTTTGTTAATTGTTTCTTATAATGCAACCTGTTTTTCACTGATTATCCTAAGCTGTGTTCTTTGTTCTCGTGATCAATAGTACACCAGGTATGAATACACAGTATGTTTTCGAGCTACAAATTTTCAATGTATTGGTTACAGCAAATTTTGTTTAAAATGCAGAAAGCTTCTTACTAAAAGTTTTTAGGTATTTTAGGACAACTGAAGTAAAGTTTGTTAGTTTATTACTAGCATATTTAAGGAAATTTGTTCTTATCTATCAATAATACCATCTGCTATGAAATTGAAGAATTTATAGAACTTAGCAGTGACCTTCATTCAACAGAGAAAAAAATGAAATTTAAAGCATTGCCTGGTAAAAGTACTGTAGCTAAGTTTGAATCTTAGGAACAGATTTTGTTAAAACAATGATTTAAGGATGTAGTCAGGTCAGGTTTAGGAATTTTTGTCAGATTTTCGGAATCCTTGGGTTTTTTCTTACAATGCAAAGTATTTTGCCCCATATCACCCACTTTTCTTTTCATAGAAGACTTCAGTAGCTCATAAAAAGGTCATTACCAAATTTTTAAGCAGATTCTAGATTTTTTTTTCGATTTGAGACCCAAATAATGCCAATGCTGAATATAAGGTAAAAGTCAGAGTCAGCCTTTTTTCGCCATTTTTGTCGAGCCTGCGACTTTTGTCGCAGAAAGCTCGACATAGGGATAGCGATCCGGCGGCGGCGTTAGCTAACTTCTTAAAAGCTTTATATTTTAGAAGATGGAAGACCTGGATGCTTCACACTTTTCATAAGTTTTCGTCAGTCACATGTCCAATGTCCTTGACCTCATTTTCATGGTTCAGTGACTACTTGAAAAAAAAGTTCAGATTTTTTGTAATGTTAAATTCTCTCTTATTATAAGTAATAGGATAACTATATTTGGTATGTGCGTACCTTGCAAGGTCCTCATGCCCGTCAGACAGTTTTCACTTGACCTCGACCTCATTTCATGGATCAGTGAACAAGGTTAAGTTTTCGTGGTCAAGTCCATATCTCAGATACTATAAGCAATAGGTCTAGTATATTCGGTGTATGGAAGGACTGTAAGGTGTACATGTCCAACTGGCAGGTGTCATCTGACCTTGACCTCATTTTCATGGTTCAGTGGTTATAGTTAAGTTTTTGTGTTTTGGTCTGTTTTTCTTATACTGTATGCAATAGGTCTACTATATTTGGTGTATGGAATGATTGTAAGGTGTACATGTCTAGCTGGCAGGTGTCATCTGACCTTGACCTCATTTTCATGGTTCAGTGGTCAAAGTTAAGTTTTTGAGTTTTGGTCTTTTTTTCTAATACTGCATGCAATAGGTCAGCTATATTTGGTGTATGGAATGATTGTAAGGTGTACATGTCTAGCTGGCAGGTGTCATCTTACCTTGACCTCATTTTCATGGTTCAGTGGTCAAAGTTAAGTTTTTGAGTTTTGGTCTTTTTTTCTAATACTATATGCAATAGTTCAACTATATTTGGTGTATGGAAATATTTTATGATCTATATGTCAGTCACGCAGGTTTTATTTGACCTTGACCTCATTTTCAAGGTTCATTGCTCAGTGTTAAGTTTTTGTGTTTTCGTCTGTTTTTCTTAAACTATAAGCAATAGGTCAACTATATTTGTTGTATGGAAGAATTGTTAGCTGTACATGCCTGCCTAGCATGGTTCATCTGACCTTGACCTCATTTTCATGGTTCATTGGTCAATGTTTAGTTTACTTGGTTAATGTTAAGTTTATGTGACAGTTGTAATAAAGCTTTATATTTAGGACTATCAACATAATATCAATGATTAGTAAAGAAGGCGAGACATTTCAGCGTGTGCACTCTTGTTTAAAAATCAAATATCTCAAAAAGGAGTTCCATAACCTTTCAATTTTTTTAGCTTATTTTGTTCCTTAACTAATGCTTTTCTGACTTATAGTATCAATTTTAAATTCTAGATTCTTTTAATTTCACCTAACTACATCCTTAACATGCTTAATATCCTTTTATTTGATAGACTATTTTGCAATTATTGGTCCCCTTATCCCAAATGTTATTGATAATGTTTGCATTTGAGGTCCATTTTAAGGGATTGAATGTGGTATACGAATGAAATTTTTATATACCCATGCTAGGAAGTAGCATTTTTTGATATGTCTATTAAGTCAGTCATTTTGTAAAAAGAGAAATTTTGGCTAGTCAAACATTCTGATATTTACTACTCATTAAGCATGCTTGCAATTGTCCCTTCCTTAATCAAGTACAAGATTAGAAGCTTAATCTCCAATTTTCTTATTGATTTCATGCTGATATAGTTATTGTTCATATTAAAACACTTTAACTCGTATGATTCTCTAAAAACGTTGATTCATTGCCATTTGATAGTTTGAAGAAAAACTTGTACAAGAGATACATAATCATTCGTTATGGGTAATCAACTTGGAAATTCCTGTTTATTTTATTTTCTTAAAATCAAAAGTAGCTTGATAGATTCCTGAGGGATTTGCTAATTTAAGTCATTAGAATCATTAGAGTTTTAAATTGTTACATTCCATAAATTATCCTTACACATTTAAGGTCAAGGTTATTGTTACTAAAAGTAGACTGAAATTTGTGCAAGAACATGGTTTCTAGATGCTAAATACTACAAATGGGATTGCAACAATACTTGGATAAAGATTAAAGTTTGCATTTTGGTGCAAATATAACCTTTTTTTTTTTTTTTTGGGAGGACAAAATATTTGTGTTACAATGAATCATTTGCTGTCAACTTTTCAAACCTACACAGAGGAAGATTTACCCTGAGGAAAATAAAATGCTGATTTTGTTTTGGTTTTTTTTCATTTTTGATGGAAGAAGAATGATTACTACATGACACAAACACTAGACAACACTAAAGCAATGTTATTTCCAATCTTTGGCTTCAAGTCATAGTAAGGCCTTCAAAATTGAGCTAAAGCTCACACCTCACTGTTACAACACAACCAACAGCACAAACTCTTTGTGAAAAACAAATTTTAGGTTCCAAAAACTATGAGGAGTTGACACCTTTATTTCATGTTACTTTTTTAAAGCTAATTTTTGAAGCACACGTAGATTATGTTATCAAGACATTATAAACAATAATGATTGAATCATCACTTTAAACATGATACTGTTTCTCTATATAAACCTTTCAGAGACATGTTTATAATTTCTTAGTAGGATTACTCAGTACTATAATGACTTGTTTTAGCATGATGACACAATTTTAATTATCTTTTAACAGATCGTATACGTGCAGAAGAATATTGGATTGGTCTGAATGATAAAACTCGTAACAGAAAATTTATATGGGCACAATCAGGTTTGCAGGTAATGATAACCTCGATACAGAAAATTGTATTTTGGTATTCATGGATTTTGAAAAACAAGATTCATCATAATGAAAACTCAAAATCTTTTAGAAAACAGTTGGATCAAAAGGATATTTAATAAAATAGATTTAAAAAAAACCCCAGAAATTTCCAAATGATGAATGATTTGCTTTGACAATGTCTTGAAGGCAATACATGGTGATCCGAAATTATGTCATTGATATCATTGTCATCAACAGTGTGTTAACCTTGGTATTATTGTCTTTTCAAAGCTTTAATTAAAAACATTTGACAGATTCAATAACTTTACTGTTTGCTTGTCATTTATTTGCATAAAAAGAAAAGCTTTTGCGACAGGGATATCCTTTGTTGTAGTTGCAAAAACATTGCTTGCTTTTTATGATCACACTTTAGCCAAGGTCTTTATAAGGAGGAGGCATGAAGTTCAAAGAAAAAAAAATGTTTTTAGTAATTTACCTTGGGCAGCAGATAAAACATTTGCACTGCAGGGTACATTGGAACACTGTTCTTTTATTTTCTCAGTTTGGCAATAATTTCTAAAGCTATCGTAGCAAGATCAAAATATATAATTACAAAGACATTAAACAGAACGAGATCAGTCTTCCTTGGAAATTCAAGAAAAATAGAATGACCAAATTTATTGGGTTATTATAAAAATAAGAAGACGTGGTATGATTGACAATGAGACATCCCTCCACTAGAGACCAAATGACATAGAATAACAACTATAGGTCGCAGTACAACAATGACCCCTGGAATGTCAATTAATGTTAGAAAATTAAACCAATTTTTTGAGTTATTGTAACAAAAATTTGTTCCGGCGTGACATTTGTTCCGCTGGAACAAATTTCATAGGAAATATGTTACACCGGACTTTATATCACAGAAAATATGTTCCAGCACTGTAAAATTTGTTCTGGAACTAATTTTATGACCAAATGTAAAATAAGTTCCGGAACAAAGATCATAATAGCTTCATGAATTTTGTTCCAATTAATATTAAGAGTTTTAAAAAGGTAAATAAGTTCCTGTGATATTTGTTTTAAACGAACATGTACATATTTCATAGAAATCAATGAATAAGTTCAGCTCAAACCTATTTTCACAGAAAATAAGTACCTTTGCAACAAATTGCAAGTGAAATATTTTCTTGTTACATTTAAATTATAATGCAAGCTGAGTGCTGTACTGAGTGTGCTTGCATGCATGGAATACATTTGCAATTGAAGGCATGACTGTAACTAAAGGATGAAGATAAGAGATAAAAGCGATGGTAATGTATCATAATTTGTATTTATGTTTTATGTGGTATTCCTCCTTGGTTTTTGTTAACCGTCATGGCCGCGTGTTCTAGTCATACATGTACTTAGGTCATAGCACAGTTTCAAAAGAGAGTGTCTTTTGTTTTTACATGTCTTTTGATATAACTGATCAGTCACTTTGTCCTTTTCAAATAAGTACATATGTTCATCTTTAACTATACTTTTTTTCTGAATGATTGATTTTTCTTATTCTACTCTTTTCTGGCTGAAAAGTGTCATTTTGAAATTTTTTACAGAGTATATAATTAAACATTTGCTATACTCCACAGGATCCGAATTGGATAATTTACATTTTTTACTTTTTTTATTATTGATATAATACTTATCTTTATAATGCACTTGCATGATAACTTTAAACTCACTGATGACAAATGCTCAGTATATAAGATAACTTGTTTAACCAGTGGAACATATTTCACAGACAAGGAACTTATTTCACCAGGTGAGGAACAAATCTCACAAACCCAGAACTTATTTCACTAGATAAGGAACAAATCGCATAAACCCGGAACTTATTTCACCAGGTAAGGAACAAATTTCACCAAACCGGTACTTATTTCACCAGGTAAAGTGTGGAACTTATTTTATAGAGATGGAACAAATTATATAGAAATCATCTGTGAAAAAAGTTCTCCCAGAACATATTTCCTGTGATATAAGTTCCACTGGAACTTTTTTCACAGGAACAAATTTTGGCTCACATTATGACCCCTGGAATTTCAATCAATGTTAGCAATTTTCAGAGTTTTTTAATTATTTGTACTGAACAGTTGAAGAAAAATCCAAGAAAAGAAGCAACAATTGAGAAATATTCTCAATAGTAGTATAGCTTCTAAATTGACAATGTTGCTCAGATCATAATTGAGAATCAAAATGTAAGAGTATTCCACAAAATACACAATAAGAATTGACATTTCAGACCAGATTTAAGAAATGGTGTCCTCATGAACCGAATGATGATGGAACTGAGAACTGTATTGAATACAAAAACCGATGCTGGAATGATAAGGAATGTTACGCTCCATTAAAATTTATTTGTCAGAAACCTCCGAGTATGTATTGAATGGTAGGAATAAAGGTCAAGGATATTCATTTGTCAGGCTCCATGTAATTTCATAGCCATAAGAATTTAGATAGAATTACAACATTGGTCACAGCTGTTATCTACTTACATGTAAATACCAATTAAAAAGAATGTTGAATATTCATTATCTGGTGAAATATTCTATTTAACTTTTTTATACAAAGTTGCTATGAAAAAGTCTTTTTGTTTCAGGAAAAAATATGCAGAAATTTATATTTTTGAAAATGAAATGCAGCCTGGGAAGTGTCAATATTTATATGACCTTTTAACATCAACATAATATTTGTTCAGCTCATTATAATACTTCACATACATAAATCATTCCAGACAAGGTTTAGAAAGTGGTGTCCAAGGGAACCTAATGAAAGAGGAGGACAGGAGAATTGCATTGAATATAAAAATAGATGTTGGAATGACCAGGGGTGCAGCTCACCAAGGAAATTTGTTTGTCAGAAACCACCAAGTATATGTTTGTTTTTCATCAGAAATTTTATCCCATGTATAAATACCAGCAGTGTGGTGAAGGAATTTATTTTATGCACTTATTAAATGTTGTCTTGTTACCTGCTGAAAACATTTAATTTATTTCATTGCATAGTTGTTTTTGTCTAATTTAATTGTATGAATATTGCACCCAGTATAGTATAAATCATGTTTAGTTATGTTTTTAGTTTTTTTTATTTTGTACTTAAAATTTGGTTTAAATGTTTCACTGTAAATGACATTTTCAAATTTCATTTTAAATACTTCTAAAAATATATTTTAGATTATATTTTATATAAAATATGTGTAGTTTCTAAATGATAAATGGTAAATTGAATTGCATTTTTTTTTTTTTACACTTTAGGATAGTAAAGTTTGGACAATTTTCTTTTTGAATGGAACTGATATTTTCTTTTTTAGCTCACCTGGCCCAAAGGGCCAAGTGAGCTTTTCTCATGACTTGGCGACTGTCGTCCGTTGTCGTCGTCTTTAACTTTTTACATTTTGAACTTCTTCTAAAGAACCACTGAATGGAATGAAACCAAACATGGCATGAATGTTCCTTATGAGGTGCTGACCAAGTGTTGTTACTTTGCAGTCAATCCATCTTCCAAGATGGCCGCCAGCGGGGGACTTAGTTTAACATAGGACCCTATTGGAAATACATACAAATGACTTCTTTTAAAGAACCACTAAATGGAATGAAACAAAACATGGCATGAATGTTCCTTATGAGGTGCTGACCAAGTGTTTTACTTTGCAGTCGGTCCATCATCCAAGATGGCCGACAGTGGGGGACTTAGTTTAACATAGGACCCTATGGGAAATACATACAAATGTCTTTCTTTTAGAGAACCAGTGAATGGAATGAAACCAAACATGGCATGAATGTTCCTTATGAGGTGCTGACCAAGTGTTGTTACTTTACAGCCGATCCATCATCCAAGATGGCCACCGAGGAGGGGGGGGGGGACTTAGTTTAACATAGGACCCTATGGGAAATACCAAACATGGCATGAATGTTCCTTATGAGGTGCTGACTAAGTGTTGCTTCTTTGTTGCCGATTTACTGTTCAAGACGGCCACCAGGATATTTTATTAAATAACAGGACCAATATTAAACCAAATTTGGCCTCAATCATTATTTGGGTGTCTGTTATGATTTTTTTTTATCTTTACATGATTTCTAAAACCAAAGTAGAGTCAGGTGAGCGACACAGGCTCTTGAGAGCCTCTAGTTTTTTCATGTAACTTTTGGCATTCATCCCATCCCTCTGTTGATTTTTTGTCCTCGACGCATTGCAGGGGACATAGAAATGTCTGTCCAGTCTTGTAAGCACTCCCACCTGTACAATTCTTGCCAGATTTTTGTGACATTTATATCAAAAGTTTATATCAGCAATGTCTCTGTCAGGTACAAAAATCAGTGATGATTCACTATATTTAAAAGAGTTATGCCCCTTAGAAATATTAATTATAGAGAAAATTGCATTGTAAGCGCTTCCAAACAAACACTTCTTTTAGGATTGTTATGAAATTTATATTGAAGGTTTATATCAGCAAAGTCTTGGACGAGTTTGAAAATCTGTGCTGATCAATTATTTTTGCATGAGTTATGTCCCTTGAGAAATGTAAATTCTTTAGAAAAGTGCATTGTAAGGGCTCTCAAGTGCACAATTCCTGCCAAATATTTATGAAATTTATGTCAAAGGATATTTCCGATGTCTTGGACAAGTGTGAAAGTTTTTGCAGATCAACTATTTTAAAAAGAGTAACCCCCTTGGAAATATCAGTTTTATAGAAAATTACATTGTAAGCACTCTCTCACCTTCATTTCTTGTAGGATTGTTATGAAATTTATATCAGCAATGTCTTGTGTGAGTTCGAAAATCAGAGCTGATCTATAATTTTTACAGGAGTTATGTCTTTTTGAAATGTTTATATTGAACATTGCACTGTAAGCACTCCCACACCTAAATTTCTTGTTGAATTTTTATGAAGTTTATATCAAAGTCTTACTGTGGATTGATTATTATTTGTGGAATACAAATTTTTGTGGATTTTGTGGGTACAAGTGAAACACTAATTTAAATGTTCAACTTTTTCAATAAGTTTGTAAGCAGACTTTGTAAAAATCATGAAATAAAATATCCACGAAAAGACAATTTGTTCTTGATCCACGAAAATTGGTACCCATGAAAATAAATTAATCCACAGTATATTAGTAAGGTCTTGGAAGTATTCCACCCAACTAATTTTTACAGGAGTTATGCCCTTGGAAATAGAAATATATGGATAGTAACATAGTTAGGGATCTCATTCCTTAATTTCTTGTAAGATGTTTATTTTAAGTTGAAAATAACCCCGAAAAAAATCAATTTCTTTTATAAATTATTGCCCTTGGACATATAAGATATGTGCAATGTTAAGGACATTGAAACTCAGTTGTTTTTTTTTTATCACATTTGCATTTTCCTTTTGAGTATATAAGGACTCAACCAATGAAAGGTTGTATATAGAACAACCTGTGAATGTTCATCTGACAATAATCACATAAAAAAAACCAAATTTTACGGTATGGATTTTATTGCTGTTCATCATTTTGGGAGTTACTGAATATGGGCTCTAGCTGTTTTATATTCTAAAGGAAATTTGTAGAAAAAATCTCTTGCATGAAGGTGTCTTTACACTGTCAACAAAGAAAGAAAGTCCTCTTGAAATTAGAACTTGATCATACTCATTGTGAATGTATTGTTTACCCTTTCAATATGGCCTTTAAGGTATTTGATTATGTACTGCATTAGCATGTACCAAAAAGTTTCTTCTTAAGAACTTCTTAATCAAATATTAATTGAACCCAATTATACTTTTAAATTTCCTGTGAGGTACTGATTTAAATAGTTATTTTGATTTTGGTCTACCAACTATGGTAAAAAGCTGTAGACTTAACTTTGGAAGCTATGGGGAAAAAAATGTAATTAATTGAAAACTAGATACATGAAAGAAATACACTTAGCATCCAAATGTTTGATACAAGTTTAGGTGTGCTTCTTGTTTTTCTTAATTAAATATTTATTGTAAAAAAAATATTTATTTTTCAGAATCTATTCCATTAGGCCCTCCAATAACAACTACTCCAAGTAAGTAATTTTTAATGAGTCTTCAGGTTGAGGGAATTTTATCTATTTAAGACAAAAATCATTCTCACTATTTTCTTAAAAAATTCCTTTGTATCTCATGCAACTTGAATGAGATGGGCTATTCTCAGGCCTGTAGAAAAAGAATAGGATGAAGTCATAAGACAACCTAATTGACGTTGCCTAGGAAAATACTGAAATACAGATTATGTTTTATTAAATACTTTTTCATGGTTATCAATCTTTGATGACATAAGGTTGAGAAAATGTCACCCTTTGAGAAAATTAATCATATTTAAAAATAAATAATCTATAACTATTACTTAACTACAGTACGTGATTTGGTCTGTTTATCAGAAACTATAAGCAGTAGGTCAACTATATCTGGTGTATGGAATGATTGTAAGGCATACATATCAGTCTGGTAGGATTCATCTGACCTTGACCTCATAGTCCGTGGTTCATGGTTCATTGGTCAGTGTTTTGTTTCAGTAGTTTGGTCGTCTTCTAAAATAATATAAGCAATAGGTCTTCTATATCTGGCCTATGGAATGATTGTTGGGTGTACATGTTTGTCTGGTAGGGTTCATAACCCTGACCTCATTTTCATGGTTCATTGATTTATGTTTTCTGGTTAAGTATGTTCTTAGATACTATAGCGATAGATCAACTATATTTGGTCCATAGATTGATTGTAAGGTGTACATATCTTTCTGGCATGTATCATCTTACCTTGACCTCATTGTCATGAATCTTAGATAATGTTAAGTTTATTTGATACTTGAAGATAACTATGTCTTTATGACTTTTAACATAAAGTCAATCATGGTCAGTAAAGCAGGTGCGACATTTCTGTGTTCACTCTTGTTATTTTTTGTATAAGAGCCTCCTCTATTCAAATCCTTGAAACATAACATAATATTTTCATATACATTGAAGTTCACATTGATACATATTAAGGTGTGTACATCACTATTAAATTTTTGATATAATAATATATTGGACTTTATCCAAAGGCTATAATTGACTATACCGGTAATGAGTTCATTCTTTTCTTTAAATAATAAATATTTACTTTTGAAATTTGAACTTTTCAGTGCCATTTAGTTTGCATTGTGGAGTTGGATGGGAAGAGGATCCATCATCAAAGTATTGTTACCAGTTCCGCGATGACCAAATGGCATGGAATGATGCACGTCTGGCTTGTAGGAGAATGGGTGGGGACCTAGCCAGTATACATGATAGAGAGACGCAAGTTTATATAAATAGTACGTTTACCATACATGGTCCCTTATAAAAGATTTTATTATATATGTAGATGTTTTAGTTTTTAGCTCACCTAGCCTAAAAGGCAATGTGAGCTTTTGCCATCCCTTTGCGTCCGTAGTCTGTCGTTTGGTGTAAAAATTTTCAAAAATCTTCTCCTCTGAAACCACTGGACCAATTTCAACCAAACTTGAGCTGAATGATTCTAAGGGTATTTAGTATTAGTTTTGTGTTTTTTATTCTTTTCCATAAAGAAACATGACCACCATGGTTAAAAATGGAACATAGGGGTAAAATGCAGTTTTTGACTTAAATCTTAAAAACTAAAGCAATTAAAGCAAATCTTACATGGGTATAAATGAAAAGAATATCAAAATTTATCTGAAATGAAATTTTCAGACCAATTGGAAAACCTTAATTATAAATTTTATAAAATTTGTCTGTTTTTAGTAATTGTCTTGAAAACTATTATGGACAAAGAAAAATTTGACAATTTTTCGCTGCATTAAAAAAAAATAGATAAGATGAGAGTAATGCAATCATTCCAGAGAAAACTGTGAAATAAGCATACAACCAAATATTGCCTTTTTGTAATATCAGTGAACTGGTTACTGTAAACAGGGAAATTTTGTGGCAGTTTTATTTTGGCTATATGCGAGGTAAGAGTGGAAATGCAAAATTAAAAATTCTGCAAATATTTAAAGAAAAACTGATTCAAAGAATGAAGACCATACATGAACCTATATCAGTAGGATTATGTACAGGGCCAATTTGTTAACAATTTTCAGACAACAGATCTATATCACAAATTTAAACTTTATTTCTAAATGAAAATCAGTGTTAGAAGTCAAAACTTTTAGCCAATGACAGTCGCATTAAAATGAAATATATTATAAGCAAGCAGAATTGATTGATACTGTTATATATGGGTCTTTTTCAAAAAATGTCCATTTTTGACAACAAGAAAATGGAAAAAAAATGTCGAGAAATAAGTGATTTAATTGTACATGTCAATACTTTAACATCAATATAAACTAAATACAAAATATGCAACCTTAAACTGAACGTTAAGTTTGACAACAACTCTGTAAAAGTGAACATGGTGTGCCAAGATGTCCCCTTCGCAATGATTTTTTAAGGCTCTACCATGTTAAAAAATTAGAATTTAAAGGTATTTTTTTCTTCAAAAATCTGACAAAATAAATGATTTTATAAAGTTTTAACTATTTGATTTGCAATTTTAACTACTAGAAAATATAACAAGCCTTTTTTTAAATATTCACAAATGTCTACTGCGTAATGATATATGTCCCCTATGAGGGCGCATTACATTTGCGCGTATTTGGGGATTAAATAGAGAATATCATATGGCTTTTTCAATATCACACCTGTATCAACTCTGCTTGAGGAATTATATTGGTTGAGGGTTGATGCAGAGTGTGATATTGAAAAAGCCATATCATATACACTTTATTATATACATGTACCTCAAGTACAACTAAATTAGATGTTTTTTCACGTGACATGACGTAAAACATATATAAGGGGTTTGATAAAGGCCTTGTAACTGTGACTGATATCGATTACGTGACGTCATACAGATTATAAAGATTAGGGGTTTGATAAAATCTTTGCAACCATGACTGATATCGATATCATCACGGTTGGCTGAGACAGCATGATTGACATAGATGGTATTACACATACAATTTACTTGTATTTACTACTAAGTATATAATAAAATGTTTTACATTTGCGCATAGCTTTTGATTACATTTGTGTGCATTCATTTTACAGGTAACACAGGTAAAAATAAAGATAACCCATAATAAATATGACTATACATGTGTAGTTATTATGAATTTTGAAAATATTTGTAAATCTAAATTATATTTAATTCATATTGAATTCTAAAAAAAACAATAAAGTGATCATGAGAAATTCTGTATTAGCTGAAGACATACATGTAACTTAATTGCGAATATTTTAGAGTAAAAAGTATTCTCTTTTCTAATTTTATCAAAAAGTGATCACTTTATTAAATAATTTAAGTCAGTTTGTTTAGTTGCATCAAGGCACATACATTGAGTTTCGTTTATCAGAAAAAAATGGGGGGAACAATCATTAATGTTCGATAGATTTACTTTCCGTATCAACAGGACACTTAAGTCAAGGGATACCGGTATTTCATGGCGATGCATTGTAAATAATTGCAAAGGCATTTCACCAGATTCCCTATTTCCTCCAAGTCTTTGGGCATCACTACCATCAGCACAATCTAGGTGTACTTTAAACGACCCGGAATCTTTCCATGCTCACAACAATGAGTAATTTCATTCAGCACATCCATGTATTTTTGTGTTGTGTGTTTTCCTAAAGCAATTGGCTTCAAATATTCAGCATGTTACAACATGTAAACTCAGTACTTTTAACCTTTAGATTTGCCCTGTTTTTACATTTTTATCTGTATATATTTCCTGGACTAAGTGGTGGTGCATAATAAAACGGACTAATCCTGCTCAAAAATAAAAGTTAAATAAATATGATATAGCTGTATTTACCCGAGTGTACCTGTAAAAGAATGTGCGCAAATGTAATCAAAAGCTGCATGCAAACATAATGATTTTTGCACACAAATGTACTGCCCTATGAAATGCTCTGTGTCCACTCGAAATGAAACATTGCTTGTGAACCATTCGACAGTGGACGTATTTACATGGTACCAGCCATTGTTGTTACACAAGGTTTCTCAGATATATCGTCCGTCATCTGTCGTCGTCGTCTGTCATCGTCTGTCGTCGTAAACTATTTCATAATTCTTCTCCTCTGAAACTACTGGGCCAAATACCTTCAAACTTTAACTAAATGTTCCTTAGGGTATCTAGTTTATAAATTTTATCCAAAGTTTTGATCCATCAACAAACATGGCCGCCATGGCTAAAAATAGAACATAGGGGTCAAATGTAGATTTTGGCTTATATCTCTGAAATCAAAGCATTTAGAGCAAATCTGACATGGGTAAAATTGTTTATCAGGTCAAGATCTATCTGCCCTGAAATTTTCAGATGAATCGGACAACCCGTTGTTGGGTTGCTGCCCCTGAATTGGTAATTTTAAGGAAATTTTGCCGTTTTTGGTTATTATCTTGAATATTATTATAGATAGAGATAAACTGTAAACAGCAATAATGTTCAGCAAAGTATGATCTACAAATAAGTCAACTTGACCAAAATGGTCAGTTGACCCCTTAAGGAGTTATGGCCCTTTATTGTCAATTTTTAACCATTTTTCGTAAATTTTTGTAATCTTTTACAAAAATCTTCTCCTCTGAAACTACTAAGACAAATTTAACCAAAATTGTCCACAATCATCATTAGGGTATCTAGTTTAAAAAATGTGTCCGATGACCCTGCCCGCAAACCAAGATGGCCGACATGGCAAAAAAATAATACATAGGGTAAAATGCAGTTTTTGGCTCATATCTCTGAAACCAAAGCATTTAGAGCAAATCTGATGGTAAAAAATTGTTCATTAGGTCAAGATCTATCTGCCCTGACCAATCAGGCAACATGTTGTTGGGTTGCTGCCCCTGAATTGGTAATTTTAAGAAAATTTTGCAGCTTTTGGTTATTATCTTGAATATTATTATAGATTATTATAGATAGAGATAAACTGTAAACAGCAATAATGTACAGCAAAGTTAGATCTACAAATAAGTCAACATGACCAAAATTGTCAATTGACCCCTTAAGGAGTTATTGCCCTTTATAGTCAATTTTTTACAATTTTCATAAATTTTGTAAATTTTTGTAAATTTTTACATAATATTTTCCACTGTAACTACTGGGCCAAGTTCATTATAGATAGAGATAATAGTAAGGAGCAAGAATGTTCAGTAAAGTAAGATCTACAAACACATCACCATCACCAAAACACAATTTTGTCATGAATCCATCTGTGTCCATTGTTTAATATGCACATAGACCAAGGTGAGCGACACAGGCTCTTTAGAGCCTCTAGTTGTAATGTTCAAATGTAGTTCTATGACAAAACATTGAAAAAGGTGCAAAAAAGATTGGTAAATTGTATGAAATTTTGAAAATTTGAATAAACTTTTAAATGTGGACAGAGCATTTTTGCATTTTTTGAACCCTTTGGTCTGATATTTTCAGAGAGTCCTAACCACAAAGCAGACAAAAAGTGTTGTCATTGTCTTTAATAAGTAAAAAAAATAAAAATATATATGATTTTATCACAATTTAAGCCCTAGACAGAGAAAGTGGACATTATTTGAAAAGCGCCCATATACAATACTTGTGACAGTTAGGAAAATGACACCTACAATCTTTTTTTAAATAATTACCACATTGTATTTACTACACTGTTTAATATGATCAAAAGATTGATAAATTATTCGTAAACCTTGCAGTTTTTAATTTGCTCTAGATCTTAATAAAGCTATTCTTTTATGTTAATTGTGTATAAGTTTTTACAAGCAAACATTAATGTAGCAATTTAATTATACTTAATATAAGTAAAATAACTTGAAATCTACATGTACATTCTTGAAGAGAAGAAAACGGTTCACTTTGTTTAGTTTAAACATTTTTTTAATGGATTTTCTACATTTGCTTAACGATACATGTACAACTGTACCATTTTAAAATCATTCACTAATATTATATTTGTACAGGACTCCTACAAATTGCGAATTCAAAACTGTGTTAATTAAGATTCACTTGGTAAATCACAAATTAAAGACAGCATGAAAATTCCATGGTTTACAGTATTCAGTTGCAGTACACATGTTGTCAACTCTCACAGTCTCACCAGAAGAGTCACAGTAAAGGAGGCCTATCTCAAGACTATCAATAGATTTTTCCATTTTTTTACATGGACAAATGTTTTCTCTGAATTCATCTGATATGGTGGATATTTATAAACCAAGCCAAGTTTAAAAATTCATGAAGTTGTGGGATTTGTTTTTCAAATATTGTGACTATTTTTATATGATTTTATCATTACAGCTAGGTCTGCTACAATGAATTCAGTAGCTTTATGGCTTGGTGGAACTGACAGATCAAGTGAAGGTGGATGGACATGGAGTGATAGAACACCGTTTAATTATGTCAACTGGTCACCAAGTACATAGAATATAAGATATAAGACTTAAAGCTGTATTTGTAGTCTATATATACTAGACAAACATACAACCATAAGTTCTGGAGTGCTTTTAAAACTGTCGAAACAAAAGCAAATCAAAACATGCAAACATATAATAAAACTTAAGAGCAAGAGTTTAGGTTATACAGACATAAAACACTGATGTTTAATTAAGCAGCTTTTATACACATACTGACCTGAAAACAGGCACAGGAATTAGTGGTACAGGGTTTAACTAAAATATGTTTTGAAAGGAAAGGATGTGGGTTGAATGTACATTAATCAATAATCCCATTAAATACTAGGAAATAAGTAATATATTAGAGGAACAGGGCTAGGAACAAATCTTTCAATGATGAAATAAACTTCTTATAACTGGTCAATACAGCCCTGATATCAACTTTAGTCATATTCTTTGATATTCATTTTTGTCAGCTACCATAAGATTTTTGTCTCAATTTGGGAATAATGTTGGCTCTGTGAAAAATAAACTTTGTATTTGTAATAAACTGACCTGATTTTGTTTAGAGCAACCAGATGATTACAGACATAATGAGGACTGTATGGGATATTATGTACAGCGAGGTCATACATGGAATGATTTCCCTTGTAACTACAGAAATGGATTCATATGTAAAAAATATTGTAGGTATTTTTAGTTGTTTTACTAATATGTTATAGATATCTCATCTATTTTATAATATAAATTCAGATTTGCAGGTTAATGTTATGTTGTTTTATTTTGATTGTGATAAAGGAGTAGGCCCGGTAAGACCCCTTTTTGGCCCCAAAATATAGCATTTTTATGGAGCCTGGGACTTTTGTCGCAGAAAGCTCGACATTGGGATAGTGATACGGCAGCCACGGCAGCGTTAACTAACTACTTAAAGGCTTAATATTTCAGAAGGAAGAAGACTTGGATGCTTCATACTTTTTATATAGATGCCTTATGTTATGAAGTTTCTGTCTGTCATATGTCCTTTGTTCTTGACCTCATTTTCATGGTTCAGTGACTACTAGAAAAAAAAGTTCGGTCGTATATTGGTATCACGTCGTCGACTTCCGAAGACACATTGGTTTCCAGACAATAACTTTTGTTTAAGTGTATGGATTTCTATGAAATTTTACCATAAGGTTTATGACCACAAAAAGGAAGGTTGGGATTGATTTTGGGGGTTATGGTCCTAACAGTTCAGGAATTAGGGGCCAAAATGTGGCCCAAATAAGCATTTTTCTAGTTTCCAGACAATAACTTGTGAAATGGTGTATGGATCTCTCTGAAATTATACCACAAGTTACCATATCACAAAGGGATGGTTAGAATTTGCTTTGGGGGGTTATGGCTCAAACTATTTAGGAATTAGGGGCAAAAAAGGGGGAAAAACAAGGGTTTTCAGGTTAATGGACAATTACTTAAGTACAAAACATAATTTTAAAGCAGTGTAAGGGAGGTAATTCAAACACATATTGTCAAATTACCTCCCTTACACTGCTTGTAAATTATTTATAAAGAAATGTGTTGTCTTTAGGTGATTAGCCATCAATTTATTTTTAGAAGTTACTATTTTAAAAATGTTTAATAAAGGTAATTTAATTATAGCCATGATTATGTATGTGAAGGTATTTTATTTTTAGATATTACCATTTAATGTTGCTAATGGAGGCTTTTTAATTTTAGGCATGATTATGATGTCATTTTCTATTTTAAAAATTATTTAATTTTAGCCATGATTATGTATGTGAAGGAATTTCATTTTTAGATATTACTATTTAATGTTGCTGATGGAAGTGTTTTAGTTTTAGGCATGATTATGATGTCATTTTCTATTTTAATACTTTTATGATGTATTTAAATGGGTTTTTATGGTTGCAAAGTCCTAGCTGTCAATTTATTTTTAGAAGTTACTTTTAAATGCTGATGAAGGAATTTTATTTTTAGATATTACAAAAGATTATAAAGTTGCTGATGAAGGTTATTGTCTCGCCTTGACGGAGTCAAAAAGCGAGACATAGGTATGCTTTTCCGGCGTCGGCGGCGGCGGCGTCAACAATGTATTAGTTTGTGATTAGGTCTAGTTCATGGTGAACCACTAGTGGTAGGTCAATGATATTTGGTATGCAGTTGTATTAGCATTGGCACATCTCATTTCTATGGAGATTATTTGGCCCCGCCCCCTCAGTCAAGGTCTATTGACTTTGAAACTTTTCATAGTTTACATGTATTAGTTTGTGATTAGGTCAATTTATGGGGAACCACTAGTGGTAGGTCAATGATATTTGGTATGCAGTTGTATAAGTATTGGCATATCTCATTTCCATGGAGATTATTTGGCTCCGCCCCCTTAGTCATGGTCTATAGACTTTGAAAATTTTACTTAGTTAACATGTATTAGTTTGTGATTAGGTCAGTTCAAGGGGAACTATTAGTGGTAGGCCAATGTTAATTGGTGTTCAGTTGTATAAGCATTAGCACATCTCATTTCCATGGAGAATATTTGGCCCCGCCCTCTCAGTCATGGTCTATTTACTTTGAAACTTTTGCTTAGTTAACATGTATTAGTTTGTGATTAGATCAGTTTAAGATGAACTTCTAATGTTAAGTCAATGATATTTGGTGTGCAAATTTATTGGCATTTGCAAGTATCATTTCCATGGAGATTATATAGACCCACCCCTGATCATGGTTCATTGACTTTGAAACTTTTACATAGTTTACAAGTTAATGTTTGTGTTTAGGTTTGTTTAAAGGGAACAACTTATAATAAGTCAATGGTATTTGGTATGCAGTTGTATTAGCATTGGCACATCTCATTCCATGGAGATTGTTTAGCCATTTACCTTCAGTCATGGTTCATCGACTTTGAATATTTGCATAACTTACATGTTAAAGTATTGCTATTTTAATTTCAACATTTGCATTATCAAAATTACAAAAAGGCGAGACATATCTCTGTGATAACAGTTTATTTAATTTTAGCCATGACTATGATGTCATTTTCTATTTTAATACTTTTATGATGTATTTAAATGGGCTTTTATGGTTAAAAAAAATCATTTTTCTAGTTTCCAGACAGTTACTTGTGATTAAGTGTATGGATCTCTCTAAAATTGTACTACAAGGTTTCATACTTCAAAGGAAAGACTGCAATTGAGTTTGATTGTTAATGCTAAAAGGGGGATTCAAAAAGTTTGGTGGGAAGGGGGGGTTTCCAATTTTTTTTTAAAGGGAAGCATTTTATTTGTAATGTTATTTTCTCTCTTATTATGAGGATAACTATATTTGGTATGTGCGTACCTTGCACAGTCCTCATGCCTGTCAGACAGTTTTCACTTGACCTCGACCTCATTTCATGGATCAGTGAACAAGGTTAAGTTTTCCTGGTCAAGTCCATATACATGTATCAGATACTATAAGCAATAGGTCTATATTTGGTGTATGGAATGAATGTAAGGTGTACATGTCCAACTGGCAGGTGTCATCTGACCTTGACCTCATTTTCATGGTACAGTGGTTAAAGTTAAGTTTTTGTGTTTTGGTCTATTTTTCTAATACTGTATGCAATAGGTCAGCTATATTTGGAGTATGGAAATACTCCATGATGTACATGTCAGTCTGGCAGGTTTTTTTTTTTTACCTTGACCTAATTTTCACGGTTCATTGCTCAATGTTAAGTTTTTGTGTTGTGGTCTGTTTTTCTTAAACTATAAGCAATAGGTCAACTATGTTTGGTGTATAGAATGACTGTAATGTTGATATGTCTGTCTGGCAGGTATCATCTGACCTTGACCTCATTTTCTTGGTTCATTGGTCAATGATAAGTTTTCGAGGTTAAGTTTGTTTCTTATATACTATATTTGATATGTCAACTGTATTTGATCCATGGAATGATTGTAAAGTGACATGTCTGTCTGACAGGGTTCATCTGACCTTGACCTCATATTCATAGTTCATTGGTCAATATAAAGTTTTCATGGTTTGGTCTGTTTCTTGTATACTATAACCAATAGGTCCGTACATTTTTTTTTTAGGTCAACTATATTCAATGTATGGAATGATTATAAGGTGTACGTGTATTTCTTGGATGGTTTATCTGACCTTGACCTCATTTTCTTGGATCATGATAAGTTAAAGTAATACTTGTAGTAAAACTTTATATTTAGGGCTATCAACATAAAATCAATGGTAGTAAAGCAGGCGAGACATTTCAGCATGTGCACTCTTGTTATAAATTTGTTGTAATGTAAACTTTTAGCTCTTTATTGGAAAGTACTTTGTTCCATAAATATGGCCTGTTTTTGACAATACAATGCACATGCATCAGGTAATAGCATCATAAATTCATGCAAAATTACTGAAATCTTCACAATTGTAGCATTTGTGCTAATTTTAAGACGGTTTTTGTCTAAAATGGAAGTGACCGCATTTGTGTTCAGTCTTAATATTTAAATATATGTTGTATTTGATGATAATTCATAACATATATAAAGGTTGAGACTGGACACGAATGCGGCCGCTTTCATTTCAAACAAAACACATCTGAAAAGTGACGTTTTATGGCATATTTGATAGATTTTTCATCTTTTAGCTTGAATTTGAGTGTCTTTAATAACCAAATCAGTTCAAATCTTTTGCATAAACTAACTGAATCGACTGAAGTAAACACTTAAGTATTTAAAAATTGTCAAAAATCTTTTATCAGATGTGCTTCAAATTTTAGGCCAAAACTATCCATTACCGGACTTTACCAGGAAGACAGGTGTGACTTTCTTGTTGCAAGGAGGGTTGTTATTATTAACAACTAATTGTTAATTCAGTTCCATTTCATAACAAGTGCTGATGACAGTGCTATTCATAGATTTGCAAAGGGATATTGTGTTCATGAAACTCAGCGTTATCAATTATTACAATATGATTAAAAATAAAAATCATCTGCTTCAGAAATATAGTTTTGATTAGATTAATATAAAAATTAGGAAGAATGCAAGAAATAAAATAACATCTAGAGTGACTGTTTTCGTTCATATGATGTCATGTTTTAGTCCCCCTACCAATGAAGCCAAAAAGGGACTATAGCTTTACATTCAATCAGCCTGTCTTTGCAGTAAGTTAACCACAATTTGTCCTGTAATGCTTTGATAAGTTATTTGGTATAAAGTCATATCATATCATAAGAAGTTACATATCAAGTGTAAGGTTTGTTCAGGATGACCAATTTTTGGAGAAAATGTAATCCTTGGACATAGAAATCTGCAAACATTATTGGTCTCTTGAACTTTCTTATGTAATGCAACAATATTGGTATATTGAGTATTGGTTGCATATTGAGTTTGAGTCTCCCTCTGGTTGAGAAATTTTGGCGAAAGTTATATGCCTTTGGTCATGGAAAATTGCTGAAAAATATTTAGTTTTCTGCACTTTTTACTGTAAATGATGTAAAATGATGTGAATTTTGTGTGTCTGTAGAGTTTTTCTGGATTTACCTTCATCAGGAATACTCAAACCTACACATTTGAAAACCAGGGATGTATAACTACGCTGCAACATAAGGAGCTATATAACTTAACAGAATAGCTCATCTAATGTCAGCTTTGCCTGAAGGAGTTTAATTTATTGATTAGATATTTGTAAAAATTTGGGGAAAAGTTATGGTAGAAAAAGTTTGTTATAAAATCACAAATTTTAATAATACTCTCTTTATGTCCCCACCGCAGCGGAGGGGGCATTAAGTGTTACCCTTGTGTCCATCTGTCTGTACGTCCCAAAATAAGGTTCTGTTCTTTTACTTTAGTTTGCTTCAACCAAATGCTATGAAACATATACACAATGTTTATTACCACAACACACATATCAAATTTAAATTTTGGTGACGTCACTTTTACCATTCTAGAGTTATGCCCCTTTACAAATTGAAAAATTGCTGAATTTTTCGTTTCCTTTCTCTAACTTAAGTTTGTCTCAACCAAATGTTATGAAACTTATACACAATGCTTATTACCACAAAACACAGATCAATTTCCAATTTGGGAGGTGTCGCTTTTACCCTTCTTGAATTATGTCCCTTTATAATGTTTTATGCAAGTGGGGGCATCATCTGTGTCCCATTGACTTATTCTCAATTTATTTTTGCTAGGATTTCATGATATTTAATATATAGGTATTTATGCTATCCAAATTGATTCCCAGTGTCAAAAATTGGAGAGAAAAATTAATATAAAAACTGAGCCCAGATTAAAAAATCACAAATTTTGTGAAATCTCTACCTTTGTGTTAGCAAAAACTGATTATGGATATAGGGATAGTATGCTATTCTTGGTTGATTCCTGGTGAAAAAAAATCCGTCTGTTGACGACGTCTTGAAAGTCTTCTTCTTCAATTCATATACAAAAGATAATGGTTGGATTTACCAAAACTTGATATCTAGGTAAAACATATACTTAATTAATTACAGATGTCAAAAACTATGAAAATTGATACCCCATAAATATTTATTGCTTTGTTTGCATCAGTATTTATTATTTACTTCTGTGCCTCACACAAAAATGTGCAAGTAGGCCCTTGCTGAAATGTCAGTGTTCCAATTTATTTTTGCTAATGAAATTTGGGTAATTTCATTTTGGTAAATTTTAGTTTTTTAAAGTTCTGTTAAAATAGTTTGAAATGTGATTTTAAGTGTTTAACTGCTCCATTCAATGTATCAGATCTGATAACATATGTTAAACAAACAGTAAATCTTTTTACAGGGGGACCCAGAACCACAATTAAACCAAGACCAACTCCACGAGTTCCAGGTAAGAATAGTGGGTTGTAAAGAAAGGTCAATTTCAAAGGTCCTGCAGGAAGTATTAGATTATTTCCATGGACAAATACATACTATATATATTTCAACTTGATGATACCCTGAATAACATTTTTAGGGTAAGATATACATATATGGTCAATCTCTTATCATTTGTAAACAAGAATAAGTAAATCTTTGTCTGACCACAGATTTTTTTAAAACTGTCCTATTAATTTCCTGTAAAATTAAATTGAATTGCTTTCAAAATATGTTTTATTGTTGCAAAATTGTTGTTGTGGTCACTAATATGATTTTTGATGTATAAACCAATCAATTCATTAGCACTTCATATAAAAAAAAATAAGATTTTGCTGCACAAAGCCATCATGAAATTAAGTTTATTTTGGCCTTTTAGTTGCCTTTTTCAAATTGTATAGGAGTGTCAGTTTTACGTGTAAATTAGATACTTGGTGACCATTGCTAAGTTTTCTATTAATAAAAAGGAAAGTTCATAGAAATGGCAATTTAAAAGGAAATTTTTGCCGTTTTTCTTTATGTTTACGTGTATTTACGGTATATTCATGAATATTGCTTCTAAATTTTATATTTACTATATTTGGAAATATAAATGTTTCATATATTATTTTTTTCAGTATTAAGATAGAGTTTCATATGCTCTTGTTTTAAAAGCAAAGTTCCAAATTACGGGTCTTACAAATCTCTATTAATTTTATTTAGACAGGTTTTGCTGATTAATATTTAATTCTGAACAGTTTATGTTTCTATAGTCCCATGTTTCAAAATTGGCCAGTCTTTTTGAATAACTGTCTCAAAAAAGTATATTTTTTTACAAAATCAATACTATGTTAAAAAAATCTGTTTGGAAAATAAAATAGGTAATATTTGGTAAATTCTTTGTATTATTTACAATATGGTAGTACTATCTTACAGCTGGACAGTTTTTGGGATGTCAATTTGGATGGAAAAAACATGGAAACACATGTTGGGCTTTTATTAGAAAAAATATGACTGCAACTGCTGCCAGGACAGAATGTCAACAGAGAGGTGGTTACCTAGCAACAGTCAACAGTCGGGATGAGCAGAATTTTATACAAGCCAATTTACCTAGAGGTATGTTTTAATTTTTCTAAGTATTACTTTATATAATTGCCTATCTTGATGAGGTCCATTACCTAAAGGGGGAAAAAAGACTAGTTTTTGTCGAGCCTGCGACTTCTGTCGCAGAAAGCTCTACATAGGGATAGTGATACAGTGGCGGAAGCGGCGGCGTTAACTAACTACTTAAAAGCTTAATCTTTTAGAAGGTGGAAGACCTGGATGCTTCATACTTTGTATATAGATGCCTTATGTTATGAAGTTTCCGTCTGTCATATGTCCATTGTCCTTGACCTCATTTTCATGGTTCAGTGACTATTTGAAAAAAAGTTCAGATTTTTTGTAATGTTAATTTCTCTCTTATTATGAGAAATAGGATAACTATATTTAGAATGTGCATACCTTGCAATATCCTCATGCCTGTCAGACAGTTTTCATCTGACCTCAACCTCATTTCATGAATCCGTGAACAAGGTTAAGTTTTCCTGGTCAAGTCCATATATCAGATACTATAAGCAATAGGTCAACTATATTTGGTGTATGGAATGATTGTAAGGTGTATAGGTCTGTCTGACAGGTATCATCTGACCTTGACCTCATATTCATGGTTCATTGGTCAGCTTTAAGACTTCATGGTTAAGTTTGTTTCTTAGATACTATAAGCAATAGGTCAACTATATTTGGTGTATGGAATGATGTTAAGGTATATATGTCTGTCTGGCAGGTATCATCTGACCTTGACCTCATTTTAATGGTTCATTGGTCATTGTTAAGTTTTCATGGTTAAGTTTGTTTCTTAGAAACTATAAGCAAAAGTTCAACTATATTTGGTGTATGGAATGATTGTAAGGTGTACATGTACAGGTATTTCCTGTTTGGTCTAGTTTTTATGTGACACTTGTAGTAAAGCTTATATTTAGGACTTTCAACATAAAATCAATGGTCAGTAAAGCAGGCGAGACATTTCAGCATGTGCACTCTTGACTTAAAGTACAAATCTGCTTTAGGAATGACATGAAACTTACAAAATGGAAAATAACCTTATCTTGTGAAATATAATGAAAAGTATAGATTTAAATTACCAATAAATGTGAACTACACTGCACTGTAGAATGAGCATTTTTTTGGAGTTCAAATGTTCCTTTATAAGCTCACCTAGCTTGAAGCGTTATGTGGGTTATTGCCATTACTTGCCATCTGTCCATTGTCTGTAAAAAAAAAATTTAAATTCGGTCTGGTGGTTTTCCTCTTGGTGCCATTGGACCCCTTGTATAAAGGGAGAAGTTATAATAAGGCCACTTGTTTGTCCCATTGAATTCAAAATTTGAGTACTATAAATCAATCAAATGATATCCAGATTATCAAAAGACTTTATTCATATATCAGTACTTGTATTTTTGAAATATGTTTTACAAATTTGCTTTAGGTCTTCAAAGTTTTGCATTTGATGCAGAACTGCAGAATGACAAAGTAGACTCAATTTGAGATCTTGTCTTCAATATTTAGATATGAGCAAAGGCCTTACTCCTAAAAAATTTTGCTAATTGGTCATTCCTTGGCTCATAACTAATTATATTGAAAACTATGTGTAGAATCACCTTTAATGTTACACACAACAATTTCAACTTTTTAGCTCACCGGGGCCCGAAGGGCCCCATGTGAGCTTATGCCATCACTTGGCATCCGTCATCTGTCGTCGTAAACTATTTCATAATTCTTCTCCTCTGAAACTACTGGGCCAAATACCTTCAAACTTTAACTAAATGTTCCTTAGGGTATCTAGTTTATAAATTGTATCCGAAGTTTTGATCCATCAACAAACATGGCCGCCATGGCTAAAAATAGAACATAGGGGTCAAATGTAGATTTTGGCTTATATCTCTGAAACCAAAGCATTTAGAGTAAATCTGACATAGGGTAAAATTGATTATCAGGTCAATATCTATTTGCCCTGAAATTTTCAGACAAATCTGACAACCTGTTGTTGGGTTGCTGCCCCTGAATTGGTAATTTTAAGGAAATTTTGCAGTTTTTATACGACCGCAAAAAAATTTTTGTGGTCGTATATTGGTATGACGTTGACGTCGTCGTCCGAAGACACATTGGTTTTCGCACTCTTACTTTAGTTTAAGTGAATGGATCTCTATGAAATTTTACCACAAGGTTCAATACCACAAAAGGAAGGTTGGGATTTATTTTGGGGGTTATGGTACCAACAGTAAAGGAATTAGGGGCCAAAAAGGGGCCAAAAATAAGCATTTTTGTAACTTCCAGACATAACTTGTGTGTTAGTGTATGGATCTCTCTGACATTGTACCACAAGGTTCCATATCACCAAGGGAATGCTGGGATTGATTTTGGGGGTAATTACCTCAAAATTTTAGGAACTAGGGGCCAAAAAAGGGGCAAAAAACAAGCATTTTTCTAGTTTCTTGATAATAACTTGTGTGTAAGTGTATGGATCTCTCTGAAATTGTACTACAAGGTTCCATATCACAAAGGGAAACCTGGAATTGAGTTTGGGGGTAATTTCTCAAAACGTTTAGGAATAAGGGGCCAAAAAGGGGCCAAAAATAAGCATTTTTCTAGTTTCCAGACAATAACTTGTGTTCAAGTGTATGGATCTCTCTGAAATTGTACTGCAAGGTACCATACCACAAAGGGAAGGCTGGGATTGATGATGGGGGTAATTGCCTCAATATTTTAGGAATTAGGGGCCAAAAAGGGGCAAAAAACAAGCATTTTTCTAGTTTCAGGACAATAACTTGTGTGTAAGTGTATGGATCTTTCTGAAATTGTACTACAAGGTTCCATATCACAAAGGGAAAGCTGGGTTTGAGTTTGGGGTAATTGTCCTGGACGTTTAGGAATTTGGGGCCAAAAAGGGGAAAAAAACACATTTTTCTAGTTTCCAGACAATAACTTGTGTTCAAGTGTATGGATCTCTCTGAAATTGTACTGCAAGGTACCATACCACAAAGGGAAGGCTGGGATTGAGTTTGGGGGTGATGAATCATAAGGGGGTTCAAAAAATTTGGGGGGGGGGGGATTTTTTTTTTTCCTTTTTTTTCTTTTTTTCCTTTTTTTTTTTCTTTTAAAATTTTCCATTTTAAGTTGGTTATTTCTGATTTATAATTAAAAGCAAATAATAATGATATGGTTGGAGATACACACCAAACAGGATGTGTAAATTATTGTGCAATAGCAAGAAATTTTCAATTGCACAGTATTGCACAATAGCAAGAAATCTTCAATTGCACAGTATTGCGCAATAGCAAGAAATCTTCAATTGCACAGTATTGCGCAATAGCAAGAAATATCCAATAGCACAATATTGCGCAATAGCAAGAAATTGTCAATTGTACAGTATTGCGCAATAGCAAGAAATATTTAATTGCACAGTATTGTGCAAAAGAAGATACTTCGTAGAAATTGCTTATTTCTTGACCAATTTCAATGGGGTTTTATTCTTGAATTCTTGGGGTTCTTTAATATGCTGAATCTAACCGTGTATTAAGTTTTTGGATTTTGGGCCCCGTTTTTAAATTGGTCCACATTGAGGTCCAAAGGGTCCAAAATTAAACTTTGTTTGATTTCATCAAAAATTGAATTATTGGGGTTCTTTGATATGCCGAATCTAACCGTGTATTTAGATTCTTAATTTTTGGTTCCGTTTTCAAATTGGTCTACATTAAGGTCCAAAGGGTCCAAAATTAAACTTAGTTTGATTTTAACAAAAATTGAATTCTTAGGGTTCTTTGATATGCTGAATCTAAATATGTATTTAGATTTTTGATTATGGGCCCAGTTTTCAAGTTGGTCCAAATCGGGGTCCAAAATTAAACTTTGTTTGATTTCAACAAAAATTGAATATATGGGGTTCTTTGATATGCTGAATCTAACCATGTATTTAGATTTTTGATTTTTGGGCCCCGTTATCAACTTTTTCCACATTGAGGTCAAAAGGGTCCAAAATTAAACTTTGTTTGATTTCATCAAAAATTGAATTCTTGGGGTTCTTTGATATGCTGAATCTAACCATGTATTTAGATTTTGGATATTGGACCATAATAGGTGAATGTCCAATTTTAAATTTTTAAGTTCTTAGACCACATTCATTCTGTGTCAGAAACCTATGCTGTGTCAAATATTTAATCACAATCCAAATGCAAAGCTGTATCAAGCTTGAATGTTGTGTCCATACTTGCCCCAACTGTTCAGGGTTCGACCTCTGCGGTCCTATCAAGCTGCGCCCTGCGGAGCATTTTATTCTAGTTTCCAGACAATAACTTGTGTTCAAGTGTAAGGATCTCTCTGAAATTGTACTGCAAGGCACCATACATTGTAACAAAAATGGAAGGATGGGATTGAGTTTGGGGGTGATGAACCATAAGGGGGTTCAAAAAATTTGAGGGGGGGATTTTTTTTCCTTTTTTTCTTTAAAATTTTCCATTTTAAATTGGTTATTTCTGATTTATATATAAAAGCAAATAATAATGATATGGTTTGAATAGGTAAATTAAAATTTTTTAAGTTCTTAGACCACATTCATTCTGTGTCAGAAACCTATGCTGTGTCAAATATTTAATCACAATCCAAATTCAGTGCTGTATCAAGCTTGAATGTTGTGTCCATACTTGCCCCAACTGTTCAGGGTTCGACCTCTGCGGTCGTATGAAGCTGCGCCCAGCGGAGCATTTTATTGGTTATTATCTTGAATATTATTATAGATAGAGATAAACTGTAAACAGCAATAATGTTCAGCAAAGTAAGATCTACAAATAAGTTGTCATGACCAAAATTGTCAGTCGACCCCTTTAAGAGTTATTGCCCTTAATAGTCAATTTTTAACAATTTTTGGGAAATTTTTGTAATCTTTTACAAAAATCTTCTTCTCTGAAACTACTGAGACAAATTTAACCATACTTGGCCATAATCATTATTAGGGTATCTAGTTTTAAAAATTTGTCCGATGACCCGGCCTTCCAACCATCATGGCCAACTTGGTTAAAAATAGAACATAGGGGTAAAATGCAGTTTTTGGTTTATATCTCTGAAACTAAAGCATTTAGAGCAAATCTGACAGGTGGCAAAAATGTTCATCAGATTTAGATTTATCTGCCCTGAAATTTTCAGACGAATCCGACAACCCGTTGTTGGGTTGCTGCCCCTGGGTTAGTATTTTTACAAAAATTTTGCAGTTTTTTTGTTATTATCTTAGATATCATTATAATATCTAATATCTAATACTATTAATTATGATTTTAACCTTATTTTACATGATTTCCAAAGCATCAGTAAATACAGGTGAGCGACACAGGCTCTTGAGAGCCTCTAGTTGTTATTATTTTGAATAGTATTATAGATATAAGTAAACTGTAAGCAGCAATAATGTTCAGCAAAGTAAGATCTACAAAAAAGTTAAATGACCATAATTGTCAATTGACCCCTTAAGGAGTTATCGCCCTTTAAAGACAATTTTACACAATTTGTTCATCAAGTTTGCTAACATTTAAAAATCTTCTCCTCTGAAACTCCTGAGCCAATTACCTTCAAACTTTAACTAAATGTTCCTTAGGGTATCTTGTTTATAAATTGTATCCAAAGTTTGTATCCATCGACAAACATGGCCGCCATGGCTAAAAATAGAACATAAGGGTCAAATGCAGTTTTTGGCTTATATCTCAAAAACTAAATCTTTTAGAGCAAATGTGACATGGGGTAAAATTGTTTAATTGGTCAAGATCTATCGGCCCTGAAATTATCAGACGAATCGAACAACCCATTGTTGGGTTGCTGCCACCGAATTGGTAGTTTTAACAAAATTTTGCAGTTTTTTGTTATTATTTTGAATAGTGTTATAGATATATATAAACTGTAAGCAGCAATAATGTTCAGCAAAGTAAGATCTACAAAAAAGTTAATATGACCAAAATTGTCAATTGACCCCTTAAGGAGTTATTGCCCTATAAAGACAATTTTACACAATTTGTTCATCAAGTTTGCTAACATTTAAAAATCTTCTCCTCTGAAATACAGGTGAGCGTTTCAGGCTCTTGAGAGCCTCTTGTTAATAACATCATAATGACATCACAACTGATATTTGGCAACGTAAGTGTCTGGGTAATATCATCCTATTCATTTAACTAACAGAATTTCACCATTTTTGCAAATTCAAAGACTAAATAATAGCTCTTACCACATACCTCGTCATTTTGACAAAATCATTCTTATTGTGCGTAGTTCCTAATTTTTAACTGTCATATTTTCCCAACAACTAACTGAATTTGTAGTCATTATTTTAAAAATGAAAAATGAAAAATATGGTTGATATCATCATAAATAACCAAGAATACTGTAAACGGAAAATTTCTACCAAATTGGGAAGCAGTAAGAATATTTTCTCCTCTAAGAATTATGACCCCAACTTGAACACCTCTAGATCTGTTATTAAAAAAAATCAACTTACTACCAAAAAAAAATCAAAAAGATAAGTCCTTTAAATTTCTGATACAGGCTATTTGCTGCATGAAATTTGGTTAATGGCATAATTGTGATTCCCTTTAGAATTTAATAGAAAAACAAAGGATATGGGGTATCCATGACACAAAATCAGTACATACACAGCAAAAAAACAAAAAAAAACACAAAATGCAAAGGAACAGCGCTTTTATTGCTGTTCTTCATCTCAAAGTCACAGTGAGGCCTTCAACATTTTGAATTTTTGTTGACCCCTGCCATACTCATCAAACATGCTTGCCTTGTAATCATAAAAAAGACCATAACAAAAACAAAAAAATCGGAAAAATTCTATAAATAAACAATTGCAACCAACCTTTTGGGAAATAATGGACTTAATTGTAGTTGACCATCCTACTTTATCTAAAACATAGCTTAAACCTGTTGCTAGAAATAAAAAGTTTGACAGAAAATAGTTTTAATGCCTTCAAAGGACCAGTTGCTACCAGACTTTGTGTGAATGACACATGTATTGTTCACTTTTGAATAGCAGTTAATTACACTCAACTGCCATCTAACATAGCTGGCTCCATTACTGACAACAAATATGATCTTGTATTTATTTGCAGCAATGAAAGGACTTTTCTTGGGTGGAAGTTACTGGATAGGACTTAGTGACAGAATTGTTGAGAATTATTTTGTATGGGATGATGGTACACCAGTTTTGTACACAAACTGGAATAGTAAAGAGCCCAACAACTGGAGAAAAATGAATGAAGACTGTGTTAGTGTTTGGCTGCAGGTAAGTTTGGGTTTTAGCTGTATTATTTGCCTGTTTATGGGACTTTTTATGGTATACCATTGTCTGTCTTTCTGTCCATGCGTCTGTCTGTCAGTTTGTCTGCCCGTCCGTCTGTCTTCAAGACTTCAGACATTAACCCAAAAACGTTTTTACTAATTTTCATGAAACTTTGGTGAATTGTTTATATCTACTGACTTTTAGCTCCCTTATCATTTTTATAAATCTTAGATTTTAATTTTTCTGAGTTGTGGGATTTTATTCTTAAAAAAATAGGGGATTTTCCAGTTTTCTGACTATAACTCAAAAATGCTTTATCAATTTTCATGAAACCTTGGCGAATTGTTTGTTTATTTTGACATAAGTTCCTTTTCGATTATTAAAAATTTCTGATTTTATGTTTTTGGAGAATTAATACTTGGAGGGATTTTTGAGTTTTTTGAGCAGTTTTAATAAAACTTTGGAGGCTTGTTTATATCTATTGAAATAAGCTCCCTTAAGATTTTTATGAATTTATGATATGACATTGCAGAGTTATGGAACTTTATTCATTGAAAAATTGTTGAAAACTGTCCATTTTTGTTCTCCCTTGACAGAGTCAAAAAGCAACACATAGGTATGCTGTTTCCAGCGTCGGTGGTGGCAGCAGCAGCATCAACAATGTATTAGTTTGTAATTAGGTCAGTTTTATGGGGAACCACTAGTGGTAGGTCAATGATATTTGGTATGCAGTTGTATAAGAATAGGCACATCTCATTTCCATGAAGATTATTTGGCCATGCTCCCTCAGTCATGGTACATTGACTTTTACTTAGTTTACATGTATTAATTTGTGATTAGGTCAGTTTATGGGGAACCACTAGTGGTAGGTCAAAGATATTTGGTATGCAGTTGTATTAGCATTGGCATATCTCATTTCAATGAAATGGTTTGGCCCTGCACCTTCAATTATGGTTCATTGACTTTGAATATTTTGCATAACTTACATGTTAAAGTATTGCTATTTTAATTTCTACATATGCATTTTACTATTGAAATAACAAAAAGGCGAGCAATATCACTGTGTTACCAGTTTATTCACACTTGGGACAGTTGTAGAATTTTATTTGTTCAAAAATCTAGCCACAAACTTAGTTAAACTTGAGGTAACCTTATTTAATAGTGCCAAATTATTCATATTTTGTGTCAACGGGCACCACTGTGTGTACGTGTTTTTTTTTTAGGAGGGTCTACTGAGTAATGCTCACAGTATTTCAAGTTGACCATATAAATTCATTTAAAGCATAAAGTTGACCTTAAAAAATGACGGTGTATCATGCGCTCATGGCGCAGCTCTTTATTTTTACATTGATCTCTGTGCCAAACTTTGCAAGGCTCGCTCACTTATCAGAAAAGTTTGGCTTATCTTATTTATTCTTCTACCTTTCATAAATCATTTAGACCTCATAGCCATGAGGATATTCATTTGAAAACTGAAAGGTTATACTGTGGATTGAGTAAAACTTACATTTTAGTGGATATTTGATTTCGTGGTTAAGCCAACGGTATAGAAAATTTGTAATTCATTGAATAATTAAATTCCTAGGAAATCCACGAAAATTGGTATCCCACAAATAATAATGAATCCACTGCACCTTAATTCCCAATCTCTATATAATTTAGTGGATACACGGTACAAAAAGTATCCTGTACAGTCAAGCTCTCAGAGTAAAGTGGATTTGCTGTTCTAAGGAGGCTGTCACTAAACGGTTAAAGGAACTTCACGGATTTTTGACCAAACGAGGTTATAAGAAATGGGACATAGATAACGGGTTTGCGTGTGCTAACAATAACAGCCGCAATGACCTATTACAGTACAAACAGAAAAGGCGAAGCGAAATAGTTCCGTTTGTTTTAACATGCAAATACAGCCTTTACTAACCTCTCTCGTTTGGTCCGTGCCAATTGGCAGATTATTGCCAAACATCCAAAATTATCCAAGATCTTTCCCAAACCTATCTTAGCTTTTCGGAGACCAGCAAGTCTGAAAGACTTATTTGTGAGAGCTGATGTCTCCTCTTATAAAAGCTCTTCAACTGCAGAATGGTGCAAGTCGTGTGGTAACAGACAAATACTGAACACTCAAACATTTACTTGCCACTCCACTGGGTCCGTATACACTATATATTGCAATGTAACTTGCAAAACCCAGAATGTTGTATACGTTCTTCAGTGTCGTTGTGGCATGCAGTTTGTTGGCGAGACCGAACAGCCATTCCACAAACGCATGAATGGTCATCGAAGTGACTACACCTGCAAGCTCGACCTCCCCGTAAGTCGTCATTTGAGATCACCTGGGCATGCCCAAGCTGATCTCAAAAACCTTACCATCACTATCATAGACCACAACGAGGGTTGGTCAAGGGCCGACAGACTTGCTCGGGAAAGTTTTTGGATAAGGAAGTTAAGGATAGTATCCCCAGAGGGCATTAATGAAAAAACATAGAATGAGTCCCTACCATCACTTATTTCCAGTAACTCAGGCTTCAGTACAGGACTCTTACAGTTTTAAGGAATTTATTCCTCCTCCCAAACATCAATATTGAAAAAATTTACCAGCATATTGATTCGTGATAAATTGTATAATGATCAAGATTACTATTACGGTGTGACTACCACATGTCAAGATGAGAACCATTTGACATCTTACTGATGAAGGATATTAGTTATCCGAAATATTTAACATTTGTTCATGATTTTATTTTTTTTGGTGATGTTGTATCCTTTTAGACTTGCTTATTATATATTATATTTTGTAGTGTACTGTATCATAATTATATGATCCATCGCCTCGTAAGATTTATCGTTGGCTATTATTCAGACATTTCATTTAGTGGATATATAGATTGAATTACCAATTTTTTTACCAAAAATCTCGAGATAGGTTGAAGTGAGGGATAAGTCGAGGGTCTAAAATGAATTCTCTAGTAAGAAATAAACCTCAAAATTTTGTCCTTTTTTCATCACTTGACGTCCGTCGTCGTTAACTTTTTACATTTTGAACTTCTTCTAGAGAACCACTGAATGGAATAAAACCAAACATGGCATGAATGTTCCTTATGAGGTGCTGACCAAGTGTTGTTACTTTGTAGCCGATCCATCATCCAAGATGGCCGCCAGCGGGGGACTTAATTTAACATAGGACCCTATAGGAAATACATACAAATGTCTTCTTTTAGAGAACCAGTAAATGGAATGAAACCAAACATGGCATGAATGTTCCTTATGAGGTGCTGACCAAGTGTTGTTACTTTGCAGTCGGTCCATCATCCAAGATGGCCGCCAGCGGGGGACATAGTTTAACATAGGACCCTATGGGAAAACATACAAATGTCTTCTTTTAGAGAACCACTGAATGGAATGAAACAAAACATGACATGAATGTTCCTTATGAGGTGCTGACCAAGTGTTGTTACTTTGCAGTCGGTCCATCATCCAAGATGGCCGCCAGCGGGGGACTTAGTTTAACATAGGACCCTATGGGAAATACTTACAAATGTCTTCTTTTAGAGAACAACTGAATGGAATGAAACAAAACATGGCAATAGTGTTCCTTATGAGGTGCTGACCAAGTGTTTGTTACTTTGCAGTCGGTCCATCATCCAAGATGGCTGACAGCGGGGGACTTAGTTTAACATAGGACCCTATGGGAAATACATACAAATGTCTTCTTTTAGAGAACCAGTGAATGGAATGAAACCAAACATGGCATGAATGTTCCTTATGAAGTGCTGACCAAGTGTTGTTACTTTGCAGCCGATCCATCATCCAAGATGGCCGCCAGTGGGTGACTTAGTTTAACATAGGACCCTATGGGAAATACATACAAATGTCTTCTTTTAGAGAACCACTGAATGGAATGAAACCAAACATGACATGAATGTTCCTTATGAGGTGCTGACCAAATGTTGTTACTTTGCAGTTGGTCCATCATCCAAGATGGCCGCCAGCGGGGGGACTTAGTTTAACATAGGACCCTATGGGAAATACATACAAATGTCTTCTTTTAGAGAACCACTGAATGGAATGGAACCAAACATGGTATGAATGTTCCTTATGAGGCGTTGATCAAGTGTTGTTACTTTGCAGTCAATCCATCATCCAAGATGGCCGCCAGCGGGGGACTTAGTTTAACATAGGACCCTATGGGAAATACATACAAATGTCTTCTTTTAGAGAACCACTGAATGGAATGAAACCAAACATGGCACGAATGTTCCTTTTGAGGTGTTGACCAAGTGTTGTTACTTTGCAGCCGATCCATCATCCAAGATGGCCGCTAGCGGGGGACTTAGTTTAACATAGGACCTTTTGGGAAATACATACAAATGTCTTCTTTTAGAGAACCACTGAATTGAATGAAACCAAACATGGCATGAATGTTCCTTATGAGGTGCTGACCAAGTGTTGTTACTTTGCAGTCAGTCTATCATCCAAGATGGCACCCAGGGGGGGACTTAGTTTAACATAGGACCCTATGGGAAATACATACAAATGTCTTCTTTTAGAGTACCACTGAATGGAATGGAACCAAACATGGTATGAATGTTCCTTATGAGGCGTTGATCAAGTGTTGTTACTTTGCAGTCAATCCATCATCCAAGATGGCCGCCAGCGGGGGACTTAGTTTGACATAGGACCCTATGGGAAATACATACAAATGTCTTCTTTTAGAGAACCACTGAATGGAATGAAACCAAACATGGCACGAATGTTCCTTTTGAGGTGTTGACCAAGTGTTGTTACTTTGCAGCCGATCCATCATCCAAGATGGCCGCTAGCGGGGGACTTAGTTTAACATAGGACCTTTTGGGAAATACATACAAATGTCTTCTTTTAGAGAACCACTGAATTGAATGAAACCAAACATGGCATGAATGTTCCTTATGAGGTGCTGACCAAGTGTTGTTACTTTGCAGTCAGTCTATCATCCAAGATGGCACCCAGGGGGGGGGACTTAGTTTAACATAGGACCCTATGGGAAATACATACAAATGTCTTCTTTTAGAGTACCACTGAATGGAATGAAACCAAACTTTGCATGAATGTTCCTTATGAGGTGCTGACCAAGTGTTGCTACTTTGTTGCCGATTTACTGTTCAAGATGGCCACCAGGGTATTTTATTAAATAATGGGACCAATATTAAACCAAATTTGGCCTCAATCATTATTTTGGTATCTGTTATGATTTTTATCTATCTTTACATGATTTCTAAAACCAGAGTAGAGTCAGGTGAGCGACACAGGCTCTTGAGAGCCTCTAGTTTATGAACAGGTTTGATTTTTATACGCCAGTTTACGGGACGTATAATGGTATACCATTGTCCATCTGTCTGTCGTCAACATGTCAGACAATAACTCAAAAACGCTTTAACCAATTTGCATGAAACGTTGTGGAATTGTTTATATCTATTGACATGAGCTCCCTTTTGATTTTTATAAATTTTAGATTTTACGTTTCCGAGTTATTGGGTTTTATTCATTAAAAAAGGGGGTTTTCCAGTTTAGGACACTAACTCAAAAACACTTTTACCAATTTGCAAGAAACTTTGGTGAAATGTTTATATCTATTGACAGGAGCTCCTTTTCGATTTTTATAAATTTTAGATTTTACATTTCTGAGTTATTGGGTTTTATTCATTAGAAAAGGGGGATTTCCAGTTTTCGGACATTATTGGGTTTTATTCATTAGAAAAGGGGGATTTCCAGTTTTCAGACATTAACTCAAAAAATGCTTTGAGCAGTTTTCATGAAACTTTGGTGAAATGTTTATATCTATTGACGTAAGCTCCCTTTTGGTTTTTATAAATTTTAGATTTTACGTTTTCGAGTTATGGGATTTTATTCATAAAAAAGGGGTGATTTTCAAGTTTTCGGACAATTAATCTTAAAAGTGCTTTGAGCAGTTTTCATGAAAATATGGTGACTGGTTTATATCTATTTAAATAACCTCCCTTTATTATTTTTTTTATAAATTTCTGATATGACATTGAGAAGTTATTGAACTTTATTCTTTGAAAAAGCGATTGGTGTATCATGTGCTCATGGCGCAGCTGTGTATTGCAATTGGTGGAAAGCAACACTTACAGTCATGTGACAGTAAATGTTTTCTGTTATCCACACATCTGTCTTATTTGTTTGAAGTTTTTTCTGTTTGCCATACACCTGTCTTATTATTTGTTTGAAGTTTTTTCTATTTGCCATACACCTGTCTTATTTGTTTACATGTTGTCTGTTTGCCATACACCTGTCTTATTTGTTTACATGTTGTCTGTTTGCCATACACCTGTCTTATTTGTTTACATGTTGTCTGTTTGCCATTCACCTGTCTTATTTGTTTGAAGTTTTTTCTGTTTGACATTCACCTGTCTTATGTGTTTGAAGTTTTTTCTGTTTGACATTCACCTGTCTTATTTGTTTGAAGTTTTTTCTGTTTCCCATACACCTGTCTTATTTGTTAACATGTTGTCTGTTTGCCATACACCTGTCTTATTTGTTTGAAGTTTTTTCTGTTTGACATTCACCTGTCTTATTTGTTTGAAGTTTTAGCTCACCAGGCCCGAAGGGCCCCATATGAGCTTATGCCATCACTTGGCGTCCGTCGTTGGCGTAAACTATTTCAAGAATCTTCTCCTCTGAAACTACTGGGCCAAATACCCTCAAACTTTAACTGAATGTTCCTTAGGGTATCTAGTTTATAAATTGTATCCGAAGTTTTGATCCATTAACAAACATGGCCACCATGGCTAAAAATAGAACATAGGGGTCAAATGCAGTTTTTGGCTTATATCTCAAAAACTCAAGCATTTAGAGCAAATCTGACATGGGTAAAAATGTTCAATAGGTCAAGATCTATCAGCCCTGAAATTTTCAGACGAACCGAACAACCCATTGTTGGGTTGCTGCCACTAAATTGGTAATTTTAAGGAAATTTTGGAGTTTTTGGTTATTATCTTGAATATTATTGAAGATAAAGATGAACTATAAACAGCAAAAATGTTCAGCAAAGTAAGATCTACAAAAAAGTTAATATGACCAAAATTGTCAATTGACCCCTTAAGGAGTTATTGCCCTTTAAATAATACTTCCAAACTTTAACTGAATGTTCCTTAGGGTATCTAGTTTATAAAATGTATCTGAAGTTTTGATCCATGAACAAACATGGCCGCCATGGCTAAAAAATAGAACATAGGGGACAAAAGCAGTTATTGGCTTATATCTCAAAAACTACAGCAGTTAGAGCAAAAGTGAAAGGGAGTTAGAGTGATAAATGGGTCATGATTTATCAATTATGAAATTTTCAGACAAGTTCGACAACCCATTGATGGGTTACTGTTGGAAATAGTTTATTTTTATTAAATTTTACTGTTTTTGGTTATTTTCTTTAATATTATAATAAATAGAGAGAAAGTATAAATGGCAATAAATGTTCAGCTAAGTAAGATCTCCAAATAAGTCAACATGAACAAAATAGTCAATTCACCCCTTAAGGAGTTATTGCCCTTAAAACATTTTTTTTTTACATTTTTTGTGTGAAAGTTTAATTACTTTTTCAAAAATCTTCTTCTCTGAAACTACTTAGCCAAATACTTAATAAGTTTAATTGAATGTTCCTTAGGGTATCTAGTTTATAGATTGTATTCGGGGATTTGATCCATTTAAAAACATGGCAGCATTTTCTAAAAATAGAACATAGGGGTCAAATGAAGATTTTGGCTTTCATCTCAAAAACTAAAGCAGTAAGAGCAAAACTGACATAGGTGAAAGTGTTAAACAGGTTTAGATCTACCTGTCAAGTAATCTTCAGACCAATAGGACAACTTATTGTTGGGTTACTGTCCAGAAATAGTTAATTTTTAGGAAATTTTACAGTTTTAGGTTATGTTTTATCTTGAATATTATTATAGAGAGAGAGAAAGTGTAAATGACAAAATTGTTCAGCAAAGTAAGATCTACAAATAAGTCAAATGCCTGAAACTGAAATTACAGGTGAGCGATATCAGGCTCTCATGAACCTCTTGTTTCTGTTTGACATTCACCTGTCTTATTTGTTTGAAGTTTTTATGCCCCCGCCGTAGCGTTTGACATTCACCTGTTTTATTTGTTTGAAGTTTTTCTGTTTTACATAACCTGTCTTATTTGTTTAAATGTTGTCTGTTTGCCATACACCTGTCTTATTTGTTTAAATGTTGTCTGTTTGCCATACACCTGTCTTATTTGTTTTAAATGTTATCTGTTTGGCATACACCTGTCTGATTTGTTTGGTTGTTGTTTATTTAACTTACACCCATCTTATTTGTTTAAATGTTGTCTGTTTGCCATACACCTGTCTTATTTGTTTAAATGTTGTCTGTTTGCCATACACCTGTCTGATTTATTTTAAATGTTTTCTGTTTGGCATACACCTGTCTTATTTGTTTGGTTGTTGTTTATTTAACTTACACCCATCTTATTTGTTTTAAATGTTGTCTGTTTGGCATACACCTGTCTTATTTGTTTTAAATGTTATCTGTTTGGCATACACCTGTCTTATTTGTTTTAAATGTTATCTGTTTGGCATACACCTGTCTTATTTGTTTGGTTGTTGTTTATTTAACTTACACCCATCTTATTTGTTTTAAATGTTGTCTGTTTGGCATACACCTGTCTTATTTGTTTGGTTGTTGTTTATTTAACTTACACCCATCTTATTTGTTTTAAATGTTGTCTGTTTGGCATACACCTGTCTTATTTGTTTGGTTGTTGTTTATTTAACTTACACCCATCTTATTTGTTTTAAATGTTGTCTGTTTGCCATACACCTGTCTTATTTGTTTGGTTGTTGTTTATTTAACTTACACCCATCTTATTTGTTTTAAATGTTGTCTGTTTGCCATACACCTGTCTTATTTGTTTGGTTGTTGTTTATTTAACTTACACCCATCTTATTTGTTTTAAATGTTGTCTGTTTGGCATACACCTGTCTTATTTGTTTGGTTGTTGTTTATTTAACTTACACCCATCTTATTTGTTTTAAATGTTGTCTGTTTGCCATAAACCTGTCTTATTTGTCACCTGTCTCATTTGTTTTAAATGTTTTATGTTTGCCATACACCTATCTGACTTGATTTTATTGTTGTCAATTTGACATAAACCTGTCGGATTTGATTTAATTGTCTGTTTGCCATACACCTGTTTGATTTGATTAACTGTTGTCCATTTGCCATACACCTGTCTTATTTGTTTGGTTGTTGTTTATTTGACTAACACTCATCTTATTTGTGTTGAATGTAGTTTGTTTGCCATATACCTGTCTTATTTATTTTAGTTGTTTTCTGTTTGCCATACACATGTCTCTTTTGTTTTATTGCTATCTGTTTGCCATACTCTATAGTTCATGATATTTATTTTTTCAGGGAAGAGGTTGGAATGATGCCCCATGTAACACTTTAGCTCAGGGTTATGTTTGTAGAAAAGGTGTACAAGTAGTAGCTACTACTGGACAGAATCCCTTATTTCAGGGATGTACTCACCCTGTAAGTACTAGGGTATTTTTATTAGAATGAGCATAATCCATGTATAACTGGTAAATTATTTAGTAAAACGTTTAAAGGTAATAAATACTAAAATAAAAAATTCTCTCATGGACAAAGTATTTGGGTTTGGAATTTTGGCTTAATCATTTAAAATCAGTTGTGGTAGTAGAAAGCTATATATATATATATACAAATATATATTCATAATTTAGTCTTCTCATTGCATTAACTATATTTACTACTTCTAAAGGAAATCAATATATAACATTTAAATTTTTATGGAAATATTGCTGAAGAAATTTAAAAAAATACAAATCTGTTCAGAAGTGTACTCATTGATACTTCAAGTAAATGTCAAATTCTAATGTTTTGTAGTGGAGAGGATATGGATATGGAGCTTCGTGCTATGCATTGTTGGATCAAAATAATGCCCATCCTCTTACATGGCAGGCAGCCCAAGCCTCATGTCAATCAAAGTACAAAGGTCAGCTGGCAACAGTAAATGACAGGTAACAACACACATATATATAGTTAACAATGGAAAAGAGGATAGTGTATATTATTACACACTCTTTTCATTCATAGGAAAATGAAACCTATTGCCATCTGTTTTAAAAAGATTGGCATTTTCTATGAATATAATCTTCATGTATGAAAGCAAAGGAACTATTTGTACAATTATATTGATCACTACATACCCAATTATTTCCTGTACATTTCTGATGTCACAATGCTTATATGTTGATTTGTCACAGTAAGACTCGATCGTTGATTGACGTCATAAACACCAATTGACCTCTGGTCAACGAATGTAACTCGTTTATGAAAAGGAACTAAAAATTGGTCTATTCTGTTGGATAATAATTATACTTCTAATCATAACAATGTGGTGTGTAGATTTATTTGAACACCTTGATCAGTCTGATTGAATGACACATGTCACAGACACATGTACCTTATTGGTGAACTATTGTCTAACAACTTAACAACACATAAGTTAGTCATTGTTGGAATAGATAAACAATATATTCATCAGATTATTACGTCGAAAAAAAAGCATTTGCATACACAGTTAATAATAGGTTTGTCATGTGTTGCTCAATCTTTTCTCTGTAATGTTTGGGGGAAATAGCAAAGATCGACTGTACTATAAATACATTTAAAGTTATTTTTAGAATGACATCATTGATAAAAATGCCCGTATGTCATGCAAGCGGATATCGTTTTCGTTGTAAACAATAACGTGCATGAGGTTATAAATACTGTATTTTAATACAAAACCATGGATAGTTCAACAGAAAAAAGTAAATCGGAAGGTAGTAAACATTGTGTTTATGTCACATGTAACATTGATTCAAGATATATCGTTAGCGTAAGGAGATGGAAGGCGATTTTTTATACCACGTTAATAAAATGTCACACATTTCAGTTATATTGTTTCAACTTGTTGTCTTTTCTGTATTTATTTTCTATGCATATGAATTGTTTGAATTTATTGAAATAAGTTTTACGTCACAGTGAATTCATTACAAAAATCAAAATTCAAATGTGTTATGCAATAATATTAGGCATTTCAGAAAAGTGTAAACAATTTCATATCTACGTTACTTGAGAGGGGTGTACAATTGACATGAACAAGGAACGGCTGCTGACATGCAGTGTCACAAACTCTCAAATCTACTTACCCTCTAAAAATCGAGTGGCATAAATGACATTAATATTCATATAAACTATGATTAAGTGGTCAGATAATTAAGTGACTGTAACTCGTCCTCATAACCATAAAATTTCTCCCAAAATCGGCATACGTGCAAACCGCTTTCATAGGTGGACCCAGGAGGGGCCCGGGTGAAAAATTTGGTTGATTATATAGGGAATCACTTTAGCATAAAATTGAGAATGGAAATGGGGAATGTGTCAAAGAGACAACAACCCGACCACAGAACAGACAACAGCAGAAGGCCACCAACAGGTCTTCAATGCAGCGAGAAATTCCCGCACCCGGAGGTGTCCTTCAGCTGGCCCCTAAACAAATATATATACTAGTTCAGTGATAATGAACGCCATACTAAACTCCAAATTGTACACAAGAAACTAAAATTAAAAATAATACAAGACTAACAAAGGCTAGAGGCTCCTGACTTGGGACAGGCGCAAAAATGCGGCGGGGTTAAACATGTTTATGAGATCTCAACCCTCCCCCTATATCTCTAGCCAATGTAGAAAAGTAAACGCATAACAATACGCACATTAAAATTCAGTTCAAGAGAAGTCCGAGTCTGATGTCAGAAGATGTAACCAAAGAAAATAAACAAAATGACAATAATACATAAATAACAACAGACTACTAGCAGTTAACTGACATGCCAGCTCCAGACTTCAATTAAACTGATTGAAAGATTATGTCTTCATCATATGAATATCAGGCACAATCCTTCCCGTTAGGGGTTTAGTATCATACCATCATAACATATATGAGAAGAACATAACCCGTGTCATGCCAACAACTGGTTTTTAAATAAATGTGTTTAGTGCCGATGCAAAGACCCTATAAGTGAATCAATATTAATGCCAAAATATGCAATCTTTAATAACCTGACAACAGTATCGTAACTATATCCCTTCTTAATAAGTCTATTTAAAGGTTTTGTTAGTTTCAGAGGTGAATACTGACATTTTTGTGCTTTATAAAGAATATTTCCATAAAAAATTGGATGTGAAATACCTGAACGTATAAGAAGTCTGCATGTTGAGCTATATTTACGAATGATGTCCTTATACCGATGATAAAATTTAGTAAATGCTTTGACTAGTTTGTGATATCGAAAACCCTGGTGTAATAATTTTTCAGTAATACATAAATTTCTCTCGTTAAAATCTAAAACATTGTTACATACACGAGCGAATCGTACAAGTTGAGATATATAAACACCGTAAGATGGTGACAAGGGAACGTCACCATCTAAAAATGGATAATTAACGATAGAAAATGAAAAATCATCTCTTTTATCATATATTTTAGTATTAAGCTTTCCGTTAATGATATAGATATCAAGATCGAGGAAAGGGCAGTGGTCATTGTTAGTATTAGCTTTATTTAAAGTAAGTTCAACAGGATAAATTTCTTTAGTATACATACTGAAGTCGTCATTCTTGAGAGCCAAAATATCATCCAAATATCTAAAAGTATTATTAAATTTGTGTATCAGATGTTGTTTCGATGGGTCTTTACTGATTTTTGTCATAAATTGTAACTCATAGCAATACAAAAAAAGGTCCGCAATAAGTGGTGCACAGTTAGTCCCCATTGGAATTCCGATAACCTGACGATATACGGAATCTCCAAAGCGAACAAAAATGTTATCTATTAAAAATTCAAGGGCATATATAGTATCAAAGCATGTCCAATTGACATAGTTTTTTTGTTTATTGCTACTAAAAAGTGACCTAAAAGAGTTTGAACATATATATTCACATTCTGACTTTTTAAATGCCCATTTAATTAGGTGTGTGAATTTTTCTTAATGAGAATGTGAGGCAATGTGGTATATAGGGTAGAAAAATCAAAACTTTGAACAGATTCAAAATCACCAATATATGCATGCAATTTATCAAGTACTTCCAACGAGTTCTTGACACTCCAAAAGTAATTAATTCCACTATTTTCGAAGGCCTTATTTGAACAATGACTGGACCCCCCCCCCCCCCCCCCCTTATAAAAAGTTCTGGATCTGCCACTGGCTTTTCATTGTTAACAAAATGATTTAAAGTCCGTGTATGTGGTATTTGACATAACTTTTGGTAACATTTTTGACGTTAAAAAAATATTTTCAAAGATAGTCCCAGTAAAAAATATATTCGAAAAAGACAAAGAATTATTGACAGTAACTGGTACTGAACCAGTATAACTCTCATTTCAAAAAGTTATGGTCCGATTACCTTTATCAACAAATTTGTTCCCATACGTAAAAATCAAATTTGAACCATTCTAATCGGACTTTTAATTTTGTTTCATTTATATGTTTCGGAGTAAAGTGTGTAGTCCATTTCGTTGAACTAGTATTCATTTTTGTTAAGGGGTCAGCTGAAGCCCGCCTCCAGGTGCGGGATTTTCTCGTTGCGTTGAACCCATTAGTGGCTCCAGCTTTGGTCGGATAGTTGTCTCTTTTACACATTCCCCGTTTCCGTAATCAATTCTATTAATATTATAAAAACGAAAACTTATGGCCAGGGATACCTGATGAGAATAGGCATAGGTACATAGGTCAGACCGTAATCGAAACTCCTTTTATATTATAAGGAACACAGACTCAGCACTGTGATTTTTTTCTAAGAATACGCACACTATTTGAGTAACAAGCACATGTGGGTTTCTTTTAAAAGTACAAAAATAAATACTGACAGAAGTATTCATTATTAAACAAAAAAATATTATCTTACATTGAGTACGTAGAAATAGAGATGTGGTATGGTTGTTAATACGACAACTATCCACCAAAGTTCAAATGAAGTGGATGTAAGTAATTAAAGGCAACTGTACATCCTTTAACAATGAGAAAAACCCATACTTTATAGTCGGCTATAAAAGGTCCTGGCATTTACCAATTCTAGATAACTCTAAAATCTAAATACATATTGTTATATACATATGCACTTTCATGGATCTACAATCTGTCGACTAATTAAGTCTCCCAAACGAAGTTTGGGAAGACTTATTGGTTTTGCTCAGTTATTATTATTATTATTATTCTTCTTCTTCTTCTTCTTCTTCCGCCACTTTTAAATTTGAACTTGTCCGCACCCGTTCTCCAAAACCGCTTGTCAGATTAACTTAGGGTTTCACAATATGTTATACTAACATGTCTAGTGGTGCAATCAGGGTTTTGTTTGTGCAATGGGGTTTATAAAGGGGTACTTTGAGGGGCAAAAAGAAAGGAGGGTTTTACTATAGAACCCTATGGGATTTTATTTTTTTAAATTTTCAAATGATTATAAATTGAAAACCGTTTGTGATAGACACAATCTTTTTAATTGAAAATGTTCTAAATGATAAAGCACATTAAATGAAATACAGGGTGAGTCCCCAGGGGTCACCCCCACCCCCTGCCATTTAAGAAAGTTCTAATAACTTGTAAGTGGTCAAGATCCCCACCCCTGAACCATATATATTCTGGTTTGTCATGCTAAGATGGTTTGAATGATATACAGGGTTAGTCCCCAGGGGTCACCCCCACCACCTGCCATTTGAGAAAGTTCTAATATCTTGTAAATGGTCAAGATCTCCACCTCTAAACCATATATATTCTGGTTTGTCATGATATAGCACATCAATGAAATACAGGGTTAGTCCCCAGGGGTCACCCCCACCCCCTGCCATTTAAGAAAGTTCTAATATCTTGTAAGTGGTCAAGATCCCCACCCCTAAACCATATATATTCTGGTTTGTCATGCTAAGATGGTTTGAATGATATACAGGGTTAGTCCCCATGGGTCATCCCGACCCCCTGCC